CCCGCCCTAGCACCAGAACCCCTGACCCTGGGCTATGAATTTCACAATTTTGGTAGAGTCACTCTTTCTTATCATAACTTTGTATTTAATTTGTTTAAATAATACCCAGGTGTAGAGAAGAAGATTTTCAAAGAAATAATGCACTTTCACTAAATAATCTATATAGCCCCGCCCTAGCACCAGAACCCCTGACCCTGGGGCTATGAATTTCACAATTTTGGTAGAGTTACTCTTTCTTATCATAACTATGTATTTAAATTGTTTAAATAATACCCAGGAGTAGAGAAGAAGATTTTCAAAGAGATAATGCACTTTCACTATATGATCTATACAGTCCCGCCCTAGCACCAGAACCCCTGACCCTGGGGCTATGAATTTCACAATTTTGGTTGAGTCACTCTTTCTTATCATAACTATGTATTTAATTCGTTTAAATAATACCCAGGAGCAGAGAAGAAGATTTTCAAAGAAATAATGCACTTTCACTATATAATCTATTTCGTAAGTTCTATGGTCGATACAATGACCTTGTCAGCAAATACAATTTATCATTGAGTCAAATGCTGACTGACGTTTTTCATACTAATTGTTAGGCCACTATTTACACACTGAATTGTCGACGGATTTTTCCGTTATTTCCCGATCATGACAAGGAGCACACGGCGGGTGTGACCGGTCGGCAGGGGATGCTCACTCCTCCATGGCACCTGATCCCACATCTGATGTTTGGAGGTCCGTGTTTGCTCTGCTCCTATTTTGTATTGTATAATGGAATTTTGAGCTTGAATACTGTTCGTTATCTCCATATATTTCATGTAGCCCCGCCCTAGCACCAGAACCCCTGACACTGGGGCCATGAATTTCACAATTTTGGTAGAGGGCTCAATGCTTATTACAATCATGCCAACAGTTTGACTGCTTGATGTCCAGGAGTAAAGAAGAAGATTTTTAAAGATTGCATTAATTTTGATGGTTTTACCCCCACCCCTCAGGCCCCAGAGGGGCAGGGACCATGAAATTCACAAATTTTGTTCCCCTTCACACATAGATGCCATATGCTAAAATTGGCTGAAATTGGTTCAGCAGTTTCAGAGAAGAAGCTGAAAATGTTCAAATGTTAACACACGACGGACGACTGACGACGGACGACGACGGACGAAAACAGATAGCAATAGGTCACCTGAGTGACTCAGGTGACCTAAAAAGTAGGTCAGGGTGACCTACTTTTCAGTTGTCGTACTCCAAGGACCCAAGATGCATCAACTGACAAAGTTTGATGATTCTAAGCCAATTAGTTCCTGAAATGTTTAATTAAAGCCATAAATTTTCCAAAATAGGTCACGGTGACCTACTTTTCAGTCGACCTACTCCGAAGACCCAAGATGCATCAACTGACAAAGTTTGATGATTCTAAGCCAATTAGTACCTGAAATATTTAATTATAGTCATATAAATTGAAAAGTAGGTCACGGTGACCTACTTTTCAGTTGACGTTTTTTGAGGACCAAGATGCATCAACTTACAAAGTTTTATGATCAAAGGCCTTAAAATGTCGAAATTATGCCTCTAAAACGCTTTGAAATCGTATGCCTTCAATTAAAGTTCAAAAAGTAGGTCACTGTAACCTTATTTTTAATAAATATGTTTTATGGCCCCAAGATGCATCATCTTACAAGATTTAATGATTCTAAACCTCTCAGTATTCGAATTAGTAACCTTATTTGTTTTGAAAAAGAGTAGCCATAAAATTCAAAAAGTAGGTCAATGTGACCTACTTTTTAGTCGACGTACTTTGAAGACCCAAGATACATCAACTGACAAAGTTTGATGATCATAGGCCTTAAACTGTTCAAAATATGCCTCTAAATCATTTTGACCTACTTTTGAGTCAACATGATATGAGGTCCTTAGATGCATCAACTGACAAGATTTGATGATCCTAGTCCTTATAGTAAGTAAAATATCAACATTTAATAAAATGTAATTTTGATCAATTTTGAAGTGACCTTGAGACCATGCCCTTTGTCCAAAGGGTAAATCCCCGTGCAAATTCTACAACATATCCTCATCCTTTTATGTAAGTTTGGTGATAATCTGCCCAGTGGTTTTTGAGAAGAAGATTTTTTAGCAACCAGTACCTTTGTTTCTATTTTCCTAATTATCTCCCCTTGTTTAAGGGTCACAACCCTAGTTTTAGTATACACAGGAGTCCTTGGGCCAAGAATACCCTGTGGCAAATTTGACAATAATTGGCCAAGGGGTTCTTGAGTTATTCTAAAAAGTTTACGCAGAACTGCACAAATGGCCTTAGCATTAGCTCTTTGGGCCTTTGGCTCAGAGGAGCTAAAAACGAGGTTCCATGACACGGTAGGAAGAACCCTCACTGTACAATGGTACTGAGTTGCGAGTATAGGTCTAAATTAGAAGCCCTTCACCGGTATATGATGAAGTCCCTATATGAGTGAAAAATTCTCGAATTGGACGTTAAGCAACATCCAATCAATCAGTTACCAATGTTAAAATTTCGGTCCCTTATAAGGCTCCATCTTACCATCTAATCAAAAGGGCTATGATTTAAAGAAAGTTCACTTTGTTCAACTGTTTAACTTAGCAAGCTATTGTGAAAAATTAAATGCACATTTTTGAAAGAAATGTAATGCTTTTAAACGAAGAAACAAATAAAGGATATGAATTTTGCAAAATTATAATAGTGTTTAAATTTATAATTGATATTTTTGCTTTTTAGTACTTAGTTGCTCCAGCTTGCGCACAAATAAGAGCCTTAGGATTACAGCATGTTATGAGTTAAGTTTTCGGAGACTGTTTTTGTTTGGAATTAAGTACTATTCTCACTGATGTACATGTACCTTCCACATATATTTTTTAGTCAACGACATGTTCTTTGCAAGGACCTTCTTTACTCGACCCTCGACCCCAAATGTTTCACATGGGTTACTCTGTTCCTTCGACGTCATTGGCGCCTTTTTCAGCTCTTCCAAGTCTTTTTTTACTTAAATATTTTGGATTTCCAACGTCTCGGCTTGGGCATCACTGAAGAGACATAATTTGTCGAAATGCGCATCTGGTGCATCAAAATTGGTACCGTATATGATTTACATTTTGACCCCTGGGTCGAGGCCTCTGCTGGTGGACTGTTTGTTCCCGAGGGTCTCTACAGCCCAGTATTCTAGTACTTCGGTACTAGCTTGAAAATACGGATATATATTTAATTGCTGTGGTAAAATTTATAAATTTATTTCAAAATTAAGGATTATCTCCCTCATGCACAGCTCTGATCCTTCGACGTATTTGGCTCCAGTCTTTGGCACCTTTTTCAGCTCTTCCAAGTTTTTTTTTATGCCCTCATATCGAAGATTCGGGGTTATATAGTTTTTGCCCTGTCCGTCTGTCTGTCTGTCTCTCTGCAAAAACTTTAACCTTGCCCATAACTTTTGATTGGTTAAAGCTATGCCTTTCATATTTCACATGTGTATTCCTTGTGACAAGACCTTTCTTTGGGTACCAACATATTTGACCTTTTGACGTTGACCTTGGAGTTTGACCCACTTTTGCAAAATTTTAAGAGACTTTAACCTTGGCCATAACTTTTGAACAGTTGGTGCTTGGGGTTTCAAAGTTCACATATTTTTTTCTTGTGACAAGACTTTCTTTGGATACCAACAACTTTGACCTTTTGACCCTGACCTTGGAGTTTGACCTACATTTGAAATCTTTAACCTTGGTCATAACTTTTGAACGGTTTGTGCTAGGGCTTTCATATTTAGTATGTCTAATCCTTGAATTGTGACAAGACCTTCCTTTAGATACCAACAACTTTGATCTTTTGACCTTGACCTAAGAGTTTGACCTACTTTTGAAAAACTTAACCTTGGCTATAACGTTTGAATGGTTGGTACTAAGGCTTTCATACTTCACATATGTAATTCTTGTGACAAGACCTTCCTTTGGATACCAACCACTTTGACCCTTTAACCTTGACCTAGAAGTTTGACTTACTTTCGAAAAACTCTAACCTTGGCCGTAACTTTTGAATGGTTGGTGCTAGGGCTTTCATACTTCACATATGTGATCTATGTGACAAGACCTTCCTTTGGATACCAACATCTTTGACCCTTTGACCTTGGAGTTTGACCTACTTTTGAAAAAATTTAATCTTGGCCATATCTTTTATATATTTGGTGCTACGTCTTTCATACTTCACATGTGCATTCCTTGGGACAAGACTTTCCTTTGGATACCAACAATTTTGGCATTGACCTTGGAGTTTGACCTACTTCTAAAAAAACTTTAACTTTGGCCATAACATGTGATCGTTTGGTTCTAGGGCTTTCACATTTCACGAACATGTGTATCACTTGTGACAAGACCTTTCCTTGGGGCCCCATTGGACCTTGACCTTGACGTTTTTACTTACTTTTAAAAAAACTTTAACCTTCGCCATAATTTTTGAACAGTTGGAGCTGGGGCTTTCAAATTTCACAGGTATATTCCTTGAAAAAAGACCTTTCTTTGAGTACCAACATCTTTGATTTTTCGACCTGGAGTTTGACTTGCATTTGAGAAACTTTAACCTTCGCCATAAGCTGCATTACGGGGGCATCAGTGTTTCACAAACACATCTTGTTTTATTTAAATATTTTGGATTTCTAACGTTTCGGCTTGAGCATCAATAAAGAGACATCATTTGTCGAAATGCGCATCTGCTGCATCAAAATTGGAACCGTATATGATTTACTTTAAACCAGGGCTTTTCCTGGCCAAGGAAGTGTAGAAATGCAATGTGTTAGAGAAACATTCTTTCGTTTTTTTTTTTTTTCAGTTATGGCACAATATCAATAATGAAAAATGAAAATATCACAGTATCGAGTTGAATTTAATTGAACTATTTTAAAATTCATTAGTTTAAACTCTTTGTGAGGGTGTGTGTGTGTGTGTGTTATTTAGCAGATCTGTAATAAACCATTTTTTTGTAATTTAAGGTCCGACTACAGATTACCGGAACAGTGCAGCGTCCTCATCTTTTCCTGTTATGCTGTTTTTGTGTTGTTATGTTATGAACATTTTTTGAAATGAAAATGTCAATAAATAAATTTGAAGTCATATTCTTCGCATTTGTATAAATGTGTTTGTTGAGTTCAAATTTCATTTCACATGAACGTTGAACTTTTTTTTTACAAGTGCTCTGAAAGTTATCGTTAGAATATTAATTATCGGACAGATTCTGGTATTAGTTTTTCTGCACAGAGAATGTTGAATATTGTTGAACAGAATGTCAGATGTATGACTGGAAAACCCAAAGAAAACAAGCATTCTGAGAGTACTGAATAAGCAATACAAGTCCCCTACTGTCAAGTGTAATCTGGTTCCCCTTAAAAATTAAAAATACTGCAATTCCTTTAAAAGTCATTGAGGCGGAACGAAATGCAACTTGATCTGTAACTCATCAAGATATACCCACATAACAAAAATCAGCTCAATATCTGCAAGCTTTAGAAAAAGTGCGGAAAACCAAATAGGACAGACTGACAACAGTCGAGGAGGGAAACTATAGAACCCTCTGTTTCACTGGTTTGGGTATAATAAGAAATAAAAGTAATAAATAGCTACCTTAATAATTTATACTATTATTGGATCGCTTCTTGGACGAGCCGTCCATAAGTTCACGTCCCCTTGTCACAAAATGTGTTGGTCCAGTTTTCTCTATGATATCCCTATAGATCTGAGAAATGCTAGCACAGTAGTTTCTTAAAACGACTGTAATGAAAACAAGAGGCACTGGGGCCTTAACGGTCACCTGAGTATAATACAACACGGTAAAGGGTCCTTAGAAGTATAACTAAAACAAAATAAACAGATAGATGAAGTATTTTGGCCAAAGAGCAAGAGGATAATTAAGGTTCAAGAAAATGATTAGTCTAGTATCCAGTAAAAAATCTTAAAGTATATACTTGCCCCCATTTGTCACTATCACTATGCAATCAAAACAAAATAATGCATGAGCACTATTATTGAACCCATCTCATTCCCTCTCACAATGGCTTCTCTTGTTCCTTCTATATATATATTATTTACAAGTCTATATGGCCGCTAAAAACAATGAAAGTACTTTTTGTATTATAAATTATAAAAAAAAATCCAAAGAATCACAATTCTACGATGGCCGACAGCGGCCGCCACTTTCTGATTAAGAATATCTTACTTTTAACCATGGTTACATATTTATGATTATGATACACAACTTCTGAAAAGGTAAAAATCAGTTTTCTTTAATGGTGCTTTAGCAATTCTTTCTAGTGTATATAGTCTTATGAAGACTATGTCTTCCAACAAACTGTTGGAATTTTGATGGGCACTGTTTTCCTTTATTAGCCGACCTGTTTTTATATTCCTTTGAAGCAGAATTTATTAAAAAACTTCTACATGAGAAGGAAACTCTTGCTGTGGCCTTCTACTCGACATTCAGATATATCGACGACGTTTTATCAATTAACAATAGTAACTTCTACTTTGTCTGCTTGATATATCCAAGTGATCTCGAAATAAAAGACAACGTAGAGTCTGCCACATCTGTTTCATATTTGGATGTTTCACTTACATTAGACGATAAGGGCCAGCTAGCAACTAAATGGTATGACAAACGAGATGACTTCAGCATTTCCATCGTGAACTTTCCTTATGTATGTACATGTAGTAAGATTCCACTATCACCTGCCTATGGTGTTTATATCTCCCAACTTACTCTATAGCTAGACTCAATAGCTCTGAATATAATAATTTTTTTAACCGAGGTCGGCTACTGGCAAACAAATCTGAACTGCAAATCAACTAATGTACCCTTTGTGGGCTTATTTATGTCGGTAAAACCAAGGTTTTACAAAATAGAAGAATATCAGGACAGCAGTAATAGCGGCTATACAGAACTTTTGTTTTTTGAACAATGGGAGGGATAATGTGATACCCTTAGAGGATGACACATTGTGGGGTAAGGTGATACCCTTATAAGATGACACATTGAGGGGTAATGTGATACCCTAATAAGATGACATATTGTGGGGTAAGGTGATACCCTTATAAAATGACACATTGAGGGGTAATGTGATACCCTAATAAGACGACATATTGTGGGGTAAGGTGATACCCTTATAAGATGACACATTGAGGGGTAATGTGATACCCTTATAAGAAAACACATTGAGGGGTAAGGTGATACCCTTAGAAGATGACACAATGAGGGGTAAAGTGATACCCTTAGAAGATGACACAATGACGGGTAAGGTGATGCCCTTTAAAGATGACACAATGAGGGGTAAGGTGATACCCTTAGAAGATGACACAATTATGGGTCAGGTGATACCCTTATAACATGACACAATGTGGGGTAAGGTGATACCCTTATAAGATGACACATTGAGGGGTAAGGTGATACCCTTATAACATGACACACTGATGGGTCAGGTGATACCCTTATAACATGACACAATGTGGGGTAAGGTGATACCCTTATAAGATGACACATTGAGGGGTAAGGTGATACCCTTATAACATGACACATTGAGGGGTAAGGTGATACCCTTATAACATGACACATTGTGGGGTAAGGTTATATCTTTATAAGATGACACAATGAGGGGTAAGGTGATACCCGTATAACATGACACACTGAGGGGTCAGGTGTTACCCTTATAAGATGACACATTGTGGGGTAATGTGATACCCTTATAAGATGACACATTGCGGGGTAATGTGATACCCTTATAAGATGACACAATGAGGGGTAAGGTGATACCCTTTAAAGATGACACAATGAGGGGTAAGGTGATACCCTGAGAAGATGACACAATGAGGGGTAAGGTGATACCCTGAGAAGATGACACAACGAGGGGTAAGGTGATACCCTTATAACATGACACATTGTGGGGTAAGTTGATACCCTTATAAGATGACACATTGAGGGGTAAGGTGATACCCTTATAAGAAAACACATTGAGGGGTAAGGTGATACCCTTAGAAGATGACACAATGAGGGGTAAGGTGATACCCTTAGAAGATGACACATTGTGGGGTAAGGTGATACCCTTTGAAGATGACACAATGAGGGGTAAGGTGATACCCTTATAACATGACACACTGAGGGGTCAGGTGATACCCTTATAACATGACACATTGAGGGGTAAGGTGATATCCTTATAAGATGACACATTGTGGGGTAAGGTGATACCCTTATAAGATATGGTTATTGTTATACTTCCGGTTATTTAACAATATGGGGAGTGATCTGGTACAACTTGGGGGGGGGGGGGAGGTATCAATGGAGGTAGAATGACCTTCAATCAGTAACAGTGTACTTTCCGAGTGTCCACACATATATACCGGGAAGGGAATGGGGGTTAAACAATGGGTGACCTAACTTGTGATTTCACATAATCAGAGTATACTGGGGTAAACAATGGATGTCCCAGTTTACGCAACTATCTTGATTTCACGTGGTGGTCGATATAAATCGACCTAGGATATGTGAGTGGCCTTACACAGCAAATTTACCTTTGAATGAATACAATGATAATTTTATTACTTTACTGACATCAGAAAATACTCTTGTGCGATGGCGGTATAGATAGTTGAACTCCGATATTTTTTTATGCATTGAGTTTTACAACTGTGGTGACAATGTATCAATAAATGGTTAAGTTATTTTAAACAATTGAATTTCACCACGGGATCTGTGGACAGACGACTTGATACAAAAATGTTCATTTATTACGAGATGGTTTGTGCAGTGGTTGTGGGTTTGACCATATACGGTCTCGATACGAAAGCAATACCTTTACAATTACAACTGTCGGGCTGGACACTGTGCGACAATATTTAATTTAATTGAAAAAAGAAAATAATTCAATTAAAAAAAAGAAAATACTGGAACAATATAACATTTTTTAATTGTCATCTTCTGGTTGAAGGCATTCAAAAATATATTTTAAAAATATAAATTAAAATAACAAATGTTTCAGTAGAAAAGAAGCACGCACGTGCGGAGTACGTGCACTCCATCGAACTGTTCCCTAAATTCTGCATTTTCTAACACACAAAAACTGATGCTGCATCTCAAACAGTATAAAATCTATAACTAGTCATAACATGGAATAAAATGAATTTTTTTGTCCCAACACCCTTCTACTCTGTCCTTCTCTTCCTACTCTGCCCTGGGCCTTAAAAAAAACATATTTAACATTTTGTTAATAATTCAGATACCTTTAAATGATTAGAAAAGCAGGAAAAAGGAATATTATATTATAATATATAGTCCCTAATATTTAAAAAGAAATTTTAATTTAAGAATATATGTTCTTAAAGCTATAAATATCTGAGCTAAAAAATAAAAATACGAGATTGAGTGTAAATTAACATTATATTTGTTATTGACGTTCAAATTAAATTGAACTTGAATAACCCCACATTTCTATAGTTAAATTGATTTTAAACTGTTTCTGATATTTAAATGCGGAGTCAGTAAATAAATCGATTATTGTTTTAAATTTCTAATATCTATGAAACGCGATTGATTTAAATTGTACAATTTACAGGAAAGTCTTTATATAAAGTAATAAAAAATAGAAAAATCTTTTTAATTTTAGTTAGTCTGAACTTATCAAAATGATCCATATATGACTTTAATATCCTCATATATGACACATATATCAGAGAGAGAGAGAGAGAGAGAGTTTGAAACATTTGAGTTACCTCTTTGCGGCGCGTTGATTGTCGAGTGGACGCCTGGGAGGTACCCGTGGTATCCCCGTGACTCGGGGAGCGGGTGTCATCTCCATTGTCCGGGGAGGTATAGGCGTCACCCCCCCCCCCCCGGTAGGGTGGGAGGGGGGGGGGGCACAGGTGTCATCTCCATCTATGTATGAAACAAAGATATTATGTAAGAATAAATCTATGCTATAAAAATATACACTTGTGAGATATTTACGCAATATGTTTTTGATGTGACACACGGTGAATAATTTCGCATTTAAATACTGTTAAAAGCAAAACATAGTCTCTTTCTAATTCCATTAACATGGTGGTCCCCCTCCTCACATGGGTGCGACATCTCAACTTTAAAATTTTGTGCAGGAGGAGGACCAGGTAGAGAGTTCCAACACTCAGGTCAAAAGCGTCTCTTGCTGAATTTTTTTTTTAAAAATGACAAATTTACATGTAATTTGATCTCTTTTTTAAAACCAATACATGACGCATTTAAAGATTATAAGTATTTGAATCCACTATTTCGTTTTAAAGGGTTTTTTTCAAGTTCTGCAGTTACTTATATGCATAAGAATTACTTCACTGGGTATTATTATTTCAGGCAAGAACAAGATAAAATATTGGGGAATTTATAAAATTGGAACTTGATGTGATTAATGGGAAGGATAAATCATTCGCAGTTCGATTTATCACAGAGATTAAAATTTGTATTTGTGCAAAACCATGAACCAGTCTTTCTTTAAGTCGTCCGTTAAACAAGGCAAAATATTCACATCCGGTCCGATTTTGATAATATTGCAATCCTGGTAAATGTATGAATTTAAATTAATGCTAAATAAAGTTACCTCAAATGTCGTTGAAGGGCAGGAATTTGTAACATCTCTGACCATCTCTCTATCCAGAGTTGTCGTGCCCGCTTCCTTCCCACATACACCTCTGTCAATGCTCGATGTACAAGATTCTTGTGCAAATTTTAAGCAGCAAATATTTAAAGATAAAACTGTAATTTTAATTGTAATTATTGATAAAGTCGATATCATTTATTATCAATCTATAACCCCTCAAACGATTTATTTCTTATGTTTTCCATTGAACTATTTTGGGGAGGGAAAATTAAAACATTTTGTGGGGGGTAATATTTCTAATAAATCATATTTTCTGTGAAAAAAAAAATTAATTGAAAAAGATGGTGAATACAATTTATCATCATTTATAAAATTTCAAAGAAAATTAAATTCATTAAAGTCATCCGCTGGTCGAATGCAAATTATGTTTTAGAAGTTCCCAATTTAGGTGTTTGGGGACTTTGCGACTTCACCCCTTGGGAACGTCCTCCACTCATACATTAGCTGGAGGTCCCTCCTTTCTGTGTTATTTACACGTGCCATCTCCTCAATCTGCAAATATTTAAAAAAAATGATAAAGGCTTCAGTTATTTTTTATTTAAGACATTTGTAAGAATGATGAGTTTATTATTTAATTTCTAATTAATTAATAAATATCTAAATGCCTTGTTTTCTATTTGTATATATATTATTTCAGGGTGTAAGTAAAATGATCACTCATGTGTAACATGCATTGCTTCCCTGTTTTTGCCTTAAGGTTCATAATTAAGGTTCTGGCCATAAGTTCTATAAGTTCTTTGTTTCTATTGGGTTTTAGTTTTGTGTTCTTGTGTTTTATTGGTTTGCCAAATTCCCTCCAAATATCCTTGTTTTTTCTGGTCACTCTTTGTTCAGATATTTTGCAGAGAGGTCATATAGATTTTGTATCTGACAAATTTGACCAAATGACTGTGACAATATCTTCATCTTATGGTAAGCTAATATTTATTTACTAACTTTGTCATATCTATAATATATTTTAATCAATTGTGAAACCTATAATTTTAGCAATATTAATTTCCATAGCGCAGTTAGAAAGATATTTTGGAAATCAGATTTTTATTAGCTATTAGCATTAAAGCTAGTGTATTTTACGGTCCAGAAAATATGTACATGTGTTTTATGATAATATAATATAAAGTCTATGATAATTTATATAGTCATCATTTGGACTCCCAGTCATGATGAAGATGATTTTTATGCGGGAGATTGCCTATTCCCTCAGAATGGTATGCTATTTTTTTTTTTATGATCTATTGTTTATTCACAAAAGGTATATAATGTTTATGAAGCTATTATAAGCTTAAATAGTAATACATATTTTGTTGTATTTTTTATTCTATGCACAAAGTGTAATTCATATAGGGAGTATTTGAAAATTGAAACTTTTTATTTTACTAAAGCCCCAAACATGGGGTATGTTAGTACAATGAAAGATTACCAATTGAACAAATCAACACGTGAACAGCTAACGTAATGAATTATATATATACAAAAAGATCTATGATATGGACAGTACCTGACAGTTGATAAAAAATCATTTAATGTCTACATTGTAGGAAGTTCAGGTATGAAAAAATATAAGAACAGTTTTACAAAACTAAGCTCACCCTACCATTAGTTTATATATATCAGAAGTATATTCATGAAATGATAAAACGATATTTTGTTTGGGTTCATATGAATACCGCTAGGTATAAATTTCTGTCTTTCATTCTTCAAAAAAGGACACTTAAATAAATAATGAAACTCATCACCAAGTTCATTGTTATTGCAGAGGTTACAATGTCTCTCAGATCTATCAATACTATAAAATCTACCAGCTTCAATTGGCAAGTTATGACTGACACAACGAAATTTACACAAATATAATCTAAGATCAGTTGGTAACATGTTTAGATAATTTTCGAAACAAAAATCACACTTTTACATTCTATAATTAAGGCATTTTGAAGAATTTACTACATTTACATTCCAGCCTTGGATAAAATTATCTCTTAATGTATTCTTAATCAACATACCAATTGTGCATGGTTTATCAACATGCTGAGCATTCCACATTAAATCCAAATTACATTCGTGTAAAATATTCTTTATTTCCACGAGCCATTTTGAATGGTGAAAAGCTTTTGAACTCAACTGATATAAAATTGAGTACAATGTGAAAATTTTCTCATTTTTACAATAAAAAATCCTCTTTAAGAAACCATCTTTTCGGACTACTGGTATACAAAGTGGTATTCTACCCAGCTTTCCATAAACAATACAGTGAGGTACGTGTAGTCTTTTTAATTTTCACTTTTTTTTTTTAACAAAATTCCATATAAAAAGATTCCAAAATGCTGCAGTTTTCAAAACCTCATACTTCTACACCATACAACAAAACAGGAACAACCATGGTGTCAAAAAGTTGCAGTTGCATATCAATAGGTAAATTTAATTTCCTGGATTTTCTAAAAACAATATACATAGGTTTTCTGGCTTGTGGTATCAGATGTGACTTTGCATCATTAAAAGTACCTTTACTAGATGAAAACTGGAGATAACGAACAGTATTCAAGCTCAAAGTCTATTAAAACAATACAAATCGGGAATGAGCATCCCCTGCCAACCGGTCACACCCGCCATGTGCTCCTTGTCATGATCGGTAAATAACGGAAAAATCCGTCGACAATTCAGTGGGTAAATAATGGCCTAACAATTACTATGAGAAACGTTAGTCAGCAGAGGACTTAATGATAGATTGTATTTGCTGAAAAGGTCATTGTATCGACCATAGAACTTACGAAATGATGACTTTAAACGAGACTGTTGATATTCTTTCATCAACTTGTTTGTCAATTCTTTACCTCGTTTTAGAAATTGTTCTTACATAGAGCATGCTCTTGCGTATAGAATCAACTGAGAGAGATACACACCATATGCAGGTGATAAGGGTATATTGCTACATAAGTAAGGGAAATTGATTGAAAAGTTAGTCATCACGTTTCTCATAAAGCTTTGTTGTAAGATTACCATTGACGTCTTATTCTAGTAAAATATCCATATATGAAATAGATGTGTCAGACTCTGTTGTATCTTTTATTTCAAGCTCATTGGGATACTAGCATATCATGTCGACATATGAATGGAAATAACTATTGTTAATTGATAATACGTCGTCGATGTATCTAAATATCGAGTTGAAGGCCACAGCAAGAGATTTCTTTTTCTCATGGATATTATTTTGAATAAATTCTGCTTCATATGAATACAAAAATAGGTCTGCTAACAACGGGGCGCAGTTGATACCCATGAGAATTCCAACAGATTGTTCGAAGACCTGGTCTCCAAAAACCACATAGATATTGTCAATCAGAAACTCAAGCATCTTTTTAATATCAACTTCAGAGTACTTGTGTGTACAATCAGAATGTTTTAATTGAATATTTTTGTAAATGACCAATGACAAGGAAAGTAAATTTACGAGTTCCATTTGTATTGAAAAATCAGCTGTTAATGATGTCAAAAAGCCTGGACTTTACGTTATCGTGGGGAATGGTTGTATACAAATTTGAAAAGTCGGAAGATTTTATGTTATTGATTTTGGTAAAATTTTGTGATTTCAAATTTTCCAAAAGTTCCTTGGAATTTTTAAGTATCCACTTCTCGAATGTATTGTTGCACAGTACTCCTGAAGTTTCTCTTTCACTGCTGTTAATATCTTAATGAGGAGTAAAGAAAGAAGCTTGGTAGGAAATTATTTCAAGATAGTGAAAATTTTTAACAATTTTTAGTTATTTGATTATATTTAATGAATGTAAGAGTTATCTCCCTTTATGCAGTATTGTGTATAGTATTTGATTGTGCATTAATGATTTTCTGATATCCTCAATGTTATTGTTATATATTTTAGGGCAATTATTATTTAACTGTATAATACAGAAGTCAATATTACGAACCCTAACAGGTGTTTAATTCATTCAACATCATATGCAGAAACCCTGTTACAAATACATTGTAGCCGAGGTACATACGCCACTATTTTTATGGGGAAAAGGGGGGACACAAAAAATATGAAGAAAAAATGTTTCGAGGTCCCTGACTCCAAGTGTCTTTTGAGAACAATAAAAATAGGAACTTAATCAGAAATGAACTGACTTGGGTCACCTCCACCGGTCCTAAGGAGTTCCGGACATTGTCGTCATAAACAGAATGTACATTCTACAAAATTTCTGTACAGCCTGCCTTCTTTCTTCACTTATTGTAGAGCTCGTGTCCATGATCTAAAGTAACAAAAATTCTTTTTACACGTTCCATTTACATATTATAACAATTTATAAACAAGTATTCAAAATAAATGGCATTTTGTAATGACACAATGATGTGCGTTGAAGGTCTGAGCTTTTTATTGATAGTCAATTTTTACATTCTTTAGAAAGTCACAGTGCTTAATGAACCGGCCACTTTCTTCATGTAACGTTATTAATTATGTAATGTTATTTGTTTGTGCGTTGTGTGTCCATCGTTTACTCGTAGACTTACCTCTGTCAACTAGACCAACATTCGGCAGATAGCATCTGTGCATGAAACCTGTTGATTATATTGGCCATTGAGCGAATGTGCATTTACTATTTAATTATAAATGTATCTTTCCATTTTAATTTTTTAGAGTTCACTTAATTAGAAATGGTTATAATATGCATTTTAAGGAATACGAATAATACAGGCATATACTTATGTGCTTGATATAAACATTTGAAAAATTAAATGTACAATAATTGTAACGTGTACATGTATACCACGCAGCTCTGTTAAGGCTGCATAAAGGGGGCGGGGCCTAATTTATACGGGAAAAGTTTACTGTGACATCACACAAATATAGCAATTCCTCATTATAACAGAAAATGAAATAATCTGCGAATCTAAACTGCATAAGAGTAATGAACTACATCAAAACTTACCACTGCATTCATTTTTGTCGCTAGTTAAATCCTACACAGCAAGATATAAACTAGTCACTGATCGCTATGCACTTGTCGACATGACGTCATCATGGTAAAGTTTGACGCATTTTATGTGCAGTGAGAGGCGGATCAAGTGATTTTTTCACAGTGAAAAATGCATTTTATTATGAAACAGAATATTATTTGCAAATCTTAGGTAGACTATTAATACAAATCTGAAACCTTTGTTTAGTGCCATTATCTAAAAAATATCGAGAGAATGTATTGAATTAATTCTACCGTGTTTTTGTCTTCAGGGTGTGCATGTTTCACGCCGAGGTGCCTCATTAAATCGCCTTTTCGCAAGGGCATACACTTAATAGATCTTGACCATTTTTTGAATACACATAATTGACATATTCCTTAACTTGAAAAGTGCTGCTGCTTTCCTGAAATCGATAGCATAACTTAATAAATACATAAAATACTTGGTAAAGGTCACACATATTTCGACATTAGCAAGATAACTTGAAATTTAAACTAATAAAATGCGAATTCTATCTAAAGCAGCAGCACTTTCCATAAACTACAAGTTATATAGAAACAATCTATTACTTTAATTTTTAATTTTAACTAGGGTATGCCCTTGCGATATTGAAATGTGTTTGTGACCTACATACAGTACACATTACATGCATTTATCACGTGACTGTCAAATAACGTGACCAAACCAAATTCAGTACAGAGTGGGGTATACAATGTTATTTCAAAGAATGTTAAAGTCATAAGATAATATAAAACCTTTACAAAATTAAAATTCATTTTAAAAATGTATGTATTTATGCAAGTTTATATTGTGTTGATTTCTTCGAAGTACGCCTTAACACTGCTGCGCAGAAAATAGATGCACGTATCGACTCTTCAAGCAGCATGTTATTGTTGATGAACATACCAATCCTGGTGCCACCATTTTCACTGCAACACATCTTGTTAATGTAAAAAAGCATTTTGTACATGTTAACAATGATGTGAATATGATTATACAACAACCCGAAAAGTGAAAACTTTTCTACACATTATTTAAAATTTATGTAATCGTTATCAATACAATAACGCTACTGTAAATATATACTTGCAGTTCTGCTTCACTATCCTCTTCACTTCGCTTCAAAACAGTCCTGTGACATTTCGCGTATTTTGTTTTTTGTTTTGTTTGTTTGTTTTTGCTTGTTTGTTGTTGTTTTTTTTTTTTTTTTTTTTTTTTTTTTTTTTTTTTTTTTTTTTTTTTGCCTGTTTATTTAATGTTCTTGTGTTTGTAAATTATGAAATGAAAACAAGAAGAACAAATTTCAGTCAATCCGTATTTTGTTACTCTTCTTTCAATGTGAAAGAAAGTATACGCTTTGGTTGAATATAAATAAATAGATTTTAAATTTTTTAAAGACATATTGCTGATGATATGTTGAGAACTACAATACAAACCATAGAATCAATCTGACATTTTTACATTTTACACACATTTCATATTGATTTAAAGTCCAAATGGTATACTGATACTCTCAAAATGGATATAAAACTGCTATTTTATTTACAGCCTTGTTTACATATTGATAAAATTGTATTCATAATGACGACTTTGGCGCTTGATATTTTTCTATCACCTACCTGAAATACATAGTTCTCCTTGATAACCAGCAGCACACCCAGTTAAACACTCCCCATCAATATAAGAACACAGGTATAAGTCAAGGCAATGTCCACATGAATTGATGCAGCCCAAACCATATAATCCTCTGTCGCAAGCTTAGAAAATAAAACAAGAGGCACATGGGCCACATCGCTCACCTGAGTACTTTGGCTAGGAGTTCAACCTATCCCTAAGGGGAGGGGGCATAATTTGAACAAACTTGAATCTACACTAACTGAGGATGCTACCATATTCCTTTGACAAATCATGGCTTTAGAGGTGTTTAAAAAAATTTCCCATAAGTTGTATCTTCTATTGTGGCCCCACCCTACCCCCAAGGGTCCTAATTTGAAGAAATTTGAATTTACACTACCTGAGGATGCCTTCTGTATAAGTATGACCAATCATGGCTTTGCTGTTCTTGAGAAGAAGATTTCTAAAGATTTTTCCTAGTATGTATATCTATGTAAACCTTTGATCGTCCATTGTGACCTCACCTATACCAGGGGGTCATGATTTGAACAAACTTGAATCTACACTACCTGAGGATGTTTCCTATAAACATGTCCAATCATGGCTTTGTTGTTCTTGAGAAGATTTTTAAAGATTTTTCCTGTATTCCTATGTAAATCTTTGATTGTCCATTGCGGCCCCGCCCTACCCCCGGGGGTCATGATTTGAATAAACTTGAAAACACACTACCTAAGGATTGTTTCACATACGTTTCATTTTTCCTGGCCCAGTGGTTCTGGAGAAGAATATTTTAAAAGATTTTTCCTAAGTATTGCTATGCAAATCTTTGATGTACATTGCGGCCCTGCCCTACCCCGGGGGTCATAATTTGAACAAACTTGAATCTACACTACCTGCTACCTGAGGATGTTTCAATATAAGTTTCATCTTTCCTGGCCCAGTGGTTCTGGAGAAGATGATTTTTAAAAGATGACATTAATTTTTTACTAATTTCTAATTATCCTCCCTTGGAAGAAGGATTGGCCCTTCATTTGAACAAACTTGACCCCCCTCCCTTTACCCAAAGATACTTTGTGGCCAGCTTGGTTGAAATTGGCCCAGTGGTTCTTGAGAAGAAGTCGAAAATGTTAAAAGTTTACAGATGGACGGACGACGGACAAAATGTGATCAGAAATACCCACTTAAGCTTTCAGCTCAGGTGAGCCAAAAACCGCGTAACGCGTTTCCTTACAAAATGGTGTAAACGTTCAAACCACGAGAAAACTCACTGAATTATTGAAAACTCGTATCAGAATTTAATCATATTTGATTTGTGTAGTCAGACATTCTTACTTAATCTCTAAACCTGTAAACATTGTACAGTACTCACGTGTTTTACACAAGTCGCCCTGGTAACCAGCATCACATCCAGTTAAACACGTCCCGTTGACATGGAAACACTGGTCTACGTCACGACAATGTCCACATGTTTCACTGCATCCATTACCATAAAGACCTTGCTCACATTCTTGGATAAAACATACAAATGTTTCAACAACCTCGTGCAACTGCAACTTGTATTGCATCCATACATTTGTCAACCTGTCTTTATTACATGAATAAACCTGGCTCAGAACACTATTTTGTTACGACAGTTGTAAACATCTGTAGACTTAAAATTGTTCTTTAATCATTGGGTTATTCAATGTATATAAAGTGCAATTTTTTTAAGTTTTAAATGTTTTAGTAATAATGTAAAACACGTCAAACTTCATTCAAAACAAAAAAAAAATGTACATACCCAACACATACAATAAAAATGTTACATGTTACGTAAGGCTTTTGTGTTACCTAGCTCACATCGACGACCTCTGTAGCCAGGTTCACACCCCTGACAGGTGCCCGTCTCTATGTGACAGTACTGACAGTTGACATCTGGACAACAGTCTGATCCGTTATAATAACCCGATGTCGGACACCCTAAATATAATTATAATAGGTATAAAATCGGTCTAATTTTACAAAACGTCCGCTTTAATAATCACTGTGTGGCATCATTAAGATACATATAAAAATAAGTATTAAAACTAATTAATAATTAATCCATAATAATGATTATTTTTGTAATTTTTGGCAGTATTTCGGGCAAAACATATTGCTATTCACATACGACGCGTAATCAATTTTTATATATGTCAGAATCAAAAGCATTTGCAGTTTCCTCATAATCAATTTTTAATTTTTTTTTTTTTTTTGAATCAGTTGCATTTGCCGTTCCCTTATTTTATTAAAGATATGTCGCTCAACTTTTTATTTAGATATTGCAAATTTAAAAAATAATCAGATCAGTTATTTGGCAATCAAATCTTAAACATAACACTTTAATAATTTTCGGAAAATAAATGTGTCCCATGTATTTGAATTAATGTGAAATATGGAGATAACGGACAGTATTCAAGCTCTAAGTCCATTAAAACAATACAAATCGGGAGCAGAGCAAACACGGACTTCCAGAAACATCAGAGGTGGGATCAGGTGCCATGGAGGAGTGAGCTTCCCCTGCCAACCGGTCACTCCCGCCGTGTGCTACTTGTCATGACTGGGAAATAACAGAAAAATCCGTCGACAATTCAGTGTGTAAATAATGGATTAACAATTAGTATGAAAAATGTCAGTCCGCATATGACTTAATGATACATATAGATTGCATTTGCTGACAAGGTCATTGTATCGACCATAGAACTTACGAAATGATGACTTAAAACGAGACTGTTGATAGTCTTGTTTCATCAACTTGTTTAATTGTCAATAAATTACCTCGTTTCAGAAATTGTTCATACGTAGAGCATGCTCTTGCGTATCGAATCAACTAAGAGATATACACCCCAATGTACGTACGGTAATAAGATAATCATAAAATTAAATACAAGTAATATAAAAGTTGAATTTAACTGAATTTAACGCATAGTTAGACAATTAAATATATATTGACATAACCTGAAATACATATTAATATGTCTTTTCAGATCCAATATATTGGTTTCAAAATATAAAAATATTAAATCAATATATATATATATATATATATATATATATATATATATATATATATATATATATATATATATATATATATATATATATATATATATAACATGAATTTTTTTTGTAAATCACTCACCATACACCTCAACTTCACAGAGATCACTGTTAACGTCATCAGAGTAATAGTCAGGGTAGGTTACTCCTGGTCTTCTCTCGTTGTAGAAGATGACATATTGTCCACATACAGGACAGGTGGTGGTGAAGACAGCAGGTAAGGTGTCTACTGTAAAGTGGTCGTCCTTGTAACACAGGGTTCCCTGTAGTTTGAATGTTGTATTGGAGACATACACAGAGAATCCAAGATAGCCAAATTTTTCTTGATAGGAATCTGTAAACAATTTGTTCTCTATTTAAGTTTATACAAGTGCACGACATCATTGTAACCTGTCATTAATTTGTCAGAAATTTACACGGGTCAGAAATATAATTTGCAAAAATATCAATTGGCTTTTGAGTCCCGCTTTGCATTTGATTAACTTTAAACAACCAATAACAAAACACTATCATAATGCTAAAGAAATATGACAAAGTTGCAGGCTGTTGCTTCCATCTGCTAATTTAAAAGAGATAGATGCCAAACATACGCGAATATTTTAGAAAAAAGCTTCGTTTTTACTGGAGATTGGGAAATAATCACGATAGTTTTAATTTGACTGTGTTCGCGATTTATGATTTTTCGGCGAAATAAAACCCATCATGATTAATACCACTGTAAAGTATCAGGTGCAGTGCGTTTTACGCAATTAAATAGAGCGAAACATAATGACTTTAACCATACCCCATTGTATATTGTCCGTCTTGAAGTAGATGGTGATGTGATGGATGCTGTGTGCATTGGTCAGGTTCACCCACCAGGTGGCGTTTTGATCGTTATATGATATTGCACACTGACCTCCATTATAAAACAGGTCAGACTTACGTCCGTCTACAGCATTACTGGCGTCATACGTGTCGTTATCCAGTACAGGATTCAGTTGGTGTGCTGGTTTGTTGAGTGCGATATTGACTGTCAATAAAACAGTTACTAAATTCACATTGTGTATATCGGATCATTTTATTATCCCCTGCGCAAATAACTGCGAAGAGGATACAGCATAGCTAGTGTGGTGTATTAGTGTGTAGGTATGTGCGTGTGTGTGTGTCCACATCTCAAAGGCAAAATTCCTGTCGCGAGGGGATGCTCCGCTTAGCGGTGTTCTTGTTATTAAGGACATGATACAAACTTTTTTCAAAAATCATGAAATTAACAACTTAATGTTTACGTTTATATTAATTCAAGGGGCCTGGACACAGTTGCAGTGTTTACATTTTAAATTTCTATGCTTATTCAAAAAATAAAATCAGTCAATTGAATTGAAGTTACATGAATATTCTAAGAATTCAATGAAAATAAACAGGGCACGAGCTCTGTTATTGTTAATGTTTACGTTTCACCGAGTATGTTCAACTTGTTAAACTCTTTACACATCACTGAGCTCGGAATGACAATACTGGTGAATTGGTTTTGCTTTCTCACATTTCTAATATGAATTTTCTGGATTATAGTTTTGATAGTTTTAATTCATTCACAACGAAATTTCTACTTTTCTTAAGTATTTTAAAAGGATAAAGTTTACTTTGTGAAAGTGCAAGGCTGTGTCAATCAAACGCGTCCCGAAATTAGTAGATTCAATAATTCCCAGATAAAAGAAGTTTCTGAACACGCTTTTATTATATTTCCGTGTGAAATGCTATAGCAACATATAAGTCATGATATTATACAGAAAATTTGAGAAAATATTAACATCAAATCTGTGTCCAGGCCCCTTTAATAAAATGAATAATTATAACCGCAAAGATTTCAACTTTTCATTCAAAATTTCACATTAATGTCGCATAAAGTGAAAAAAAAAATATACATAGATTTATACAGAAAACCGGAGAAAAGTGGAATTTTAAACATCATGCATGCACAGAAGGTCTACAATTTCCTAATATTTTATAAATTTGTTATTTGAACAATTTACAATGAAAACATGTCAAAAAATATATATCAACCCGTGTATCGAATTTTTTTTTTTGGGGGGGGGGTGTTATCATCTGTCCTTAAGGTGTCCCGAAAATATTAAGAAATTCAGAAAACAATAATAAATTAAACTGGGTATACAAAGCACCATTGTGCGGACATCTTTTTTTATACCGCCTTTTCATATTTTATTACATATTTTAATATCTTATCAACGACTTAATAGTCTCGTAAGTTAATGTTTTCTTTGGATAGAAACTTTCTTTTTTAAACAAGCATTCTTCCAAAACGATTAATTTAAGGGGTTTTTTTTAATATCAAATGCATACCTAGTGGCAAAAATTAAATGTTTTAATAAGATTTTATGATAACTTTTATAAAAGAACAAAAAGAAAAACAGTGCTGAGAATATATAGAATAGTGTATAACATTTAGCATGTAGCAATATACCCTAACCACCTGTATATTGAGTTTTTGACTCTCAGGTGATTCAATACGCAAGAGTAAGCTCTACGTATGAATAATTTCTAAAACGAGGCAAGCTACTGACAAACAAATTGTTGAAACGAGAATACCAACAGTAACGTTTACAGTCATCATTTCGCAAATTTTATATTGGATACAATCGCCTTGTCAGGAAACATAATCTTGCATAAAGTCGAATGCTTACTGACATTTTTCATTTTTTTCCGTTTTCTCATCTATGGCACCTGATACTGCCTCTAATTAGAGGTCCGTGTTTGCCCTGTTCCAGATCTGTATTGTTTCTTTGCATTTTTTAGCTTTTTACTGTTCGTTATCGCCATTTTTTTTTAAAGTAAAAGGCAAGAGAATGGTCTATTATTGAATCAAAAGAAACAGATTCATCATCTTTTTGCGAGCTAAATCAGCTAATCTAGGTCCTTTTAGGAAAAAAAATGATCGAGCTGACAAACGTGTTCACGCTGTTTTGCAGTAATAATATCCTGATTAAATTTAGAATTTATTAAAGTCCAAAAATACAGAATAAACAAAACTTCATTTTACAAAGAAATCTGAAGTGTTTTCTAGACAAACTCACGCACGTCTCATATTCGACCACTCCTTCCCCTTTTCCATAAATGAGCCAATGAAACAAGTTTAAAGACAGTACTTAGCAAAATTAGGGAAAGATCAATAACAATATAAAGGACACAGCAGGAGTAAGCAAAACAAAATCAAAGAAATACCAGTCTAAGATCCGACCATAAATCAGTTAATAACAGAGAGCGAATAGCATATACTGTCAGCGTGTGTTGGGGAGAGAGATGAAATTACAAACACGTGCGATAATGCTTTTCTCTTAAGATCAAGCCAAATAAATAATTTCAATTATAAATTTCCAACAAGATTACCAAAAAAAAGGAATGTATATATTTAGATAATGCTCAAATCATTATAATTACATATAAAAAAAAAAAAAATTAAATTGTCTTTATCAATAATACATACGCATGTATATAGCACAAAAGTAAATAAGCGTGCGCAAGACTCACCTTATATTATGTTTTACTTGTTAGAATTTTTTTTTCGTAAAACGTCGAAAAATAAAGAATCGGGTACAAGGAATCTTAAACATTGTTTTACTCACCATAGGCATTTGATACCAATATATTTCCCGAGACTAAATACAAAACGTATAAGTAGTACAAAGGTGAATAAAACAAAACAGGTGACATCCTAATTAACGCGTGTGTTATCGTCCTTGTTTTCTTTTTAAATTTAGTTTTAAACTATGTCTAACAAGACTGCTCTTTGAAAAACAATTGTAATCAGGGCAACTATGATGTTCTGAGTATCTACTTACGCGTGCTTATACATATATGAATCTTCAATAGATTAGCAAAATGTGTTTCTTAAAATGTCTTCACTACACTTAGAAACCATTGATACTACTTCTTTCATATAAACACCCTCTCATATACCACTTTAAACATACTTCCTTATTTGTGAATTTTATAGGATTGTTGCAATATCTAACACTAATAGAGCAATTAAGGTTGATGCTGTCTTTTCAAAATATTGGTCAATCATACATTTCTTTCAATTAGATAGTTTAATTTTTTTCTGCGGAAATGATGCGTACAATTTTCCAGACATTTACTATTGTTATTGTCTGTTAACTTGCTTTATAATCAACACCCTCACCAGCCCTGTAAAGTGGGTAAATCCACGTCCAGATCAAGAGCCGTCATTTTTAAATATAAATTAAGCTTATTCACTCATAGAATTAAAAAAAAAATGACCAAACACATATTTATCAACCTGCACTAAAAGTACAGGTAATGAGAATATATTTCTGTTTCAGCGTATGTCTTTAGATAGTGTCTAAATACCTGCCAAATATCTCTGAAAATCTGTGAAATAAATAATAATGGTTTATGGCGGAAATAAAGACTTTCCTGATAATATTCAAAGTATTAAGCTTTAAATGTAAACTGTAGCAACTTTTGTTTGACCAAGTTGTGGTCATGGCCTATGTTGAAAAAAAATGTTATACCATGTCAGGAGTGCAACAAAAAAAATGTAGTGTTGTCAAAAAAACATCGATTTTAAAGATCTGTAAGACAATTAAGCCAAAAAAGAATTTTTAAAGTGTAAAACATTAACTGATATACAATTTAAAACTAAAAAATATTATATAAATCACAAGCAGCATTAATGAGAGTCAAGTATCTGTGCATACCCAATAATGTCAGGAGGGCAACATTTGATGTTTTGTTCCCCAGCGTGAAAAACTTTTATCAGTATATGATTCTCTGATTTTTATTTTGGAAAATAAAGACACAAAGAACATTTTTACCAAATAGATTTATCAATCACAGAGTCTTTCTGTGTTTCAGATCTTTATTTCTATGGTCAGGAGTGCAATGCATTTTTAAAGATTCAGGACATGTGATGAAAAGACTTCTATTCATGCTAAGAAATAGTTTTTAATTAATAATGATCTATTTGAATAATCTAGTACTAAATTATTGACAGTTTTATTATTAAGATCCTTCTTTTTTTCAATTTTGTCAATTCAGATGTGTTTTATCTTTTCTTTGATTTTTTTTTATGAATGTAAAAAACAAACACTGAAAAAATTGTTATAAAATTCAATTAATTCCACCTCAAATTCACTGAAACAACAGAACAGTTCTGGTGTAATTTTCGCTTCACAGTTCTATTTTAAAGACTGCAATGCTCTTCGTCAGGAGTGCAGCAAATATGTTAGACTTATTGCTGATCAAATATGAATAAATATAAAGAAAGAACTGATGAGTAGAAGGCGTCTAGTTGACCTCAGTTGTTTGCAGTGTTTGTCCTGTGAAGGAAAATATACTACATGTATAAAATATATTTTATCTCCTTAACATACATTTTACTAGTTTTAGGAATAGGGAATAACTCAAGATATAAAGCCAAGTTTAAATACTTTAATGTGTTTTAATTATGAAATATTGGACTATAAATATTGCACACTTTCGTTATCATTTGATGTTGCCAACACTTTATTAATTTTTGTGTACTATGGTTTTAATTTTCAATTTTTAATGCAGTCAGGAGTGCAACAAAACTGTTTTATAATTATCAATGATCTTCATCTATCTTGTTCAAAACATTATGTCTATCAACTAATTACAGACATTTTACAGTCAATTCAGAGAATAGTTTTCATCACCGAACACATATTTTTAAATACAATATAAATATATTACACATTGCAAATAATCATGTTTTGAAGTGAAAATATGAAAAACTTGCCGTAAATGATCAAAAATATCAAAACGACGAACTGATTTACAAACTAAGAATGGGTTATTTTGTGTTATAAGCTTTAAACAATATTAAATAATTAAAATACATATCAGATGTCAGGAGTGCAATACAATAATGTAAAACAGAGTCATTTCAAGATCTAGTATTTTTTGTAAGAAAACTTGTATATCAAAATTCTCTTTTGGCTTAGATTTAAAGAATCGACTTAAATGGACATAAAAATGATTTTGTGGGATTTTCATATTTCTTTCATATTGAAACTTATCAAACCAGAATTGAAAAAATGATGTACAAAAAGCTATTTTTACCAGAGGGGAAACTCAATCAAGGTTTAGATCTCATCATTTATACATGTATACCTGGTACCATTTTGAAGCATAAAAAACTGATTTCTTTTGATTATGTATTTTAGAAAGTCTTGATATTTTCTTTTTTCAAACACAGTTTTACTACTAAAAATTCTGAAACTTTTTTATCCAATTGTCTATATATTCTATTTCAACTTCAGGAATTTTAAATAGAATGCATGTACAATATGATGTTATGAGTGAAAAATATGTTATAGGTAGTTGATTTTTTTTTAATTCAATTTGGTGGTCATTATTTTTAATTCATCCAAATCTAGGTATCCGAAAACTATTATAAGTTTGCGAGATTTTTTACATTTTTTTTCAATATCACACCATAAGAAAACTCTCAGCCAGAATTTATACAACTATTATTCTAATATTTTATTGAACTATGCATCAAAACAAATCATGTCATGATTTATTTGGAAATCAGTGATATTCATTTTATCGGAAATATTTTTAAAATACTCAATGTTTAACAAATTATTATTTTGCCATATTTCATTGACGAAATTGACAGTAAACAGCATAAAAGGGAGACTATATAAAACAATATAATTTTTTCTTTCTTTACAATACTTAGTGAGATATCATAGCAAACGGTAAACACATTTTATCAGCCTAGTGCGTGGTAACCTCCTGAAAATAAATGCAATCTCAACAACAAGTTATTCTTAGCAAAGTAGTAAAACAAAATCTTACCTTAACAATTCAAAAAAAAAAAAAAAAAAAAAAATCTTATCATCACTTCTCTACGGGAGAATTTCGATTCACAGATCGTAGAACTACGTTACCTTCTGTACAAAACACATTTTTTGGACAGTTTATCAGAAGAGCGTTTCTAGAACCCTGGGCCTCTTGTTAATATGTGAAATTAGCTTTATTTATTTTCCGAGGGTTGGAATGAACTTCTATCCTAACATGTTCACCCTTATCCCAAACGTACCAGACCCTCCAAAACAGAATGATTTGAAAAACAAATAAAATTGTCTTAAAACATCAATGTCGTCCAAAATGTCTCGTTTTACTAAATGCAAATCAAACATTTTTTTTCTACTTCAGAACATCAAAGTTTTCATTATTGAGGAGCCCGAATCAAGGATATTACCGTCCAGGTATACGGAAAGTGGAAAAACAACATTCTGCTAGGCGACAAGGTCCGTACTAGCTGCAGAACTGTAGAGGTATGGTTTTATATACGAGTATTAGTCTTTAACCATTAACGCTACAGATCGCGTAATGCAAATGAGGTGCAATTTTGTCGGATGGCATAAAATTCAAAACAAGTGAGTTTATTGGTCTATAGGGTTGGGGTGGAAAAATATACAGGTTGATTCAAAAATGTGTCTAGAATGAGGGGATGAAAGGTAGTTGATTGACCAATGCTGGAAAGTGAAGAAATTCTCCCCAAAAGTGCGCAGAAAATCTTGCGCCGTAAATTGCACCTCATCTGTAGCGTTATGGTCAAAGACTAAACATATAAAACTATAACGCTACAGTTCTGCAGCTAGGTCTGTACAATCAGTACTTTTATCAAACTTAAAGGCAGCAAACTTGCGGGTTCTCAGCAACCCAACATACGGACTAGAGTTAAAGGCCGAGGCAGTTGTAAGTTTCCCTCCTCCTCCTCCAAAATTAATATCTATCTAATTTTTTTTGTTAAAAAATACAATGATGTGCATTAAATGGGTATTTTTTTGTTCGATAGAATATTTAACTTTGTATTAACGCCAGTCATTACACAAAAATACGCCCAATTTCTTTGTAAAGAAGAAAAACAGTATTCGTGTCAATGCTGTAAGAACTACCTTTTTAATATCAACCACGTGGGTTTTGCTTCAATGAGGTCTCATTCTTTTTTCCCTCTTTAATTATCAATTATAATTTGCAAAGAAGTTTCACGCAACTATAATAATTCATACAATAGATTATAATATTATTATTTCATTTCCCTAGAATTAAACGTTTAACTTGCAATTACACGTGCCTTCAAAGAAATTTCAGCTAGTGATTTCAGGAGATGTTACAGACCGCAATGCAGAAAATATCGATTGATATACAATTGATATTGTGTACACTTTACAAGATATTTTTTTTTATAAATTGATCACTTACATATACGGGTGTGCACTTAATTCGTAAAATGCATATGCATGTTTTTGGATCAATTTATTTCATTAAAGTGATTGATTATGTATTTTTTATATTCTTAAACAAATTATATTTTCCACTTAGCTAATACCGGGTAGTAAACGTGTCTTACAAAATCGTTAGTCGTCATGAGAAAGAGAGAGAGAGTGAGAGGGTGGGGGGGAGTCCCCTTCAGAACCTACGTGTTTGTCACATGAAGAAGGTGACCGATTCCTTAAGCATTGTGACTTTCTAAAGAATGTAAAAATTGACTATCAATAAAAGGTTTTGCTTAGACCTTCAACGCACATCATTGTACCATAATTGCAGATGCATAAAAAATTCGATTTATTTTGAATATTTGTTTATAATTTGTTATAATATGAAAATGGAACATGTAAACATTTTTCTAAATTTAGATATGGACACAAGTTCTACAATAAGCGAAGAAGGAAGGAAGGTTGTCCAGAAATTCTGTAGACTGGACATTCTGTCTATAACGACAATGTCCGGATCTCCTTAGGACCAGTGGAGGTGATCCAATTAAGTCAGTTTATTTCTGATTAAGTTCCTAGTTTTATTGTTATCAAAAGACACTTGAGTCAGGGACCTCGGAACATTTTTTCTCCACATTTTTTTTTCTTTTTTTTTCCTTTTCCCATAAAAATGGTTGCGTCTGTACCTCAGCTATACAATGTATGTCTTAAATCAAAAATAGCTGAAGCCTTTATCAGTTTTTTTTTTTTAAATATTTGCAAATTGGGGAGATGACACGCGTAAATAACACAGAAAGGAGGGACCTCCAGCTAATGCATGAGTGGAGGACGGCCCCCCAGCGGATGACATTAATGAATTTAATTTTCTTTGAAAATTTATAAATGATGAAAAATTGTATTCACCATCTTTTTCAATTAATTTTTTTAACAGAAAATATTATTTATTTGAAACATTACCCCCAAAAAATGTTTTAATTTTCCCTTCGCAAAATAGTTCATTGGAAAAGGTAAGAAATACATGTAAATCGTTTGAGGTGTTATAGATTGATAATGAATGATGTCGACTTTATCAATAATTACAATTAAAATTACAGATTTATCTTTAAATACTTGCTGCTTAAAATTTGCATATAAGAATCTTTTACATCGAGCATTGACAGAGGTGTATGTGGGAGGGAAGCAGGTACGACAACTCTGGATAGAGAGATGGACAGAGATGTTACAATTCCTGCCCTTTGACGACATTTGAAGTAACTTAATTTAGCATTAATTTAAATTCATACATTTACCAGGATTGCAAATATTTTAAAATCGGACTGGATGTGAATATTTTGCCTTGTTTAACAGACGACTTAAAGAAAGACTGGTTCATGGTTTTTGTCAAATACAAATTTTAATCTCTGTGATAAATCGAACTGCAAATGATTGATCCTTCCCATTAATCACATCATGTTCTAATTTTATAACTTTCCCATTATATTTTATCTTGTTCTTGCATGGAATAATAATACACAGTGAAGTAAATCTTCAAAAAAGAAAAGAAGAGATCAAATTACATGTTAATTTGTCATTTTTTTAAAAAATATTTTTCAGCAAGTGACGCTTTTGACCTGAGTGTTGGAACTCTACCTGGTCCTCTTCCCGGGGTAGACCATTAGACGCGTGGTAAAATTTTTTGAGATGTCGCACCCCAGTGAGGAGGGGGACCACCATGTTAAAGGAATTGGAAAGAGCCTATGTATGTGCAGTTTTGCTTTATACAGTACTTAACTGTTAAAATATTCACCTGCTTTTCTAATCATTTATAGGTATCTGAATTATTAACAAAACGTTAAGTATGTTTTCGTTAAGGCCCAGGACAGAGTAGGAAGAGTAGAAGGATGTGGGGACAAAGAGACTCATTTTTTTTCCATGTTTACGTTATGACTAGTTATAGATTTTATACTATTTGAGATGCAGCATCAATTTCTGTGTCTTAGAACATACAGAATATAGGCAACAGTTCGACAGAGTGCACTTAATCCGCACGTGCATGCTTATTTCCTACTGAAACATTTGTTATTTTTATATTTTTAAATATAATTTTTGAATGCCTTCAACTAGAAGTTGGCAATTAAAATTTTTATTTTGTTCCAATATTTTCTTCTTTGTTTTTTATTAAATTGAATTAAATACCACAGTATTGTTGCAGAATGTCCCGCCCGACAGTTGTAAATTGTAATGGTATTGCTTTCATATCAAGACCGTATATGGTCAAACCTACTATCACTGTACAAACCTTCCCGTATTAAATGAACATTTTTGTATCAAGTCTGTCCACAGATCCCGTGGTGAAATTCAATTGTTTAAATAACTTAACCATTTATTGATACATTGTCACCACAATTGTAAAACTCAATGCATAAAAAGATATCGGAGTTCAACTGTCTATAGCGCCATCGCACAAGAGTATTTTCTGATGTCAGTAAAGTAATAAAATTATCATTGTGTTCATTCGAAGGTAAATTTGCTGCGTAAGGCTACTCACATATCCTAGGTCGATTTATATCAACCACTACATGAAATCAAGATAGTTGCGTAAACTGGGACATCCATTGTTTACCCCGGTATAGTCTGATGTATGTGAAATCACAAGTTAGGTCACCCATTGTTTAACCCCCATCCCCTTCGCGGTATATATGTGTTGACACTCGGAAAGGTACACTGTTGCTAAGTGAAGGTCATTCTACCTCCATTGATACCCCCCCCCCCCAAGCCGTATAAGATTACTCACAATTGTTAAATATCTGGAAGTATAACAATCACCACGTCTTATAAGGGTATACCCTACCACTCAATGTGTCATCTTATAAGGGTATCACCTTGCCCCTCAATATGTCATCTTATAAGGGTATCACATTACCCCTCAATGTGTCATCTTATAAGGGTATCACATTACCCCTCAATGTGTCATCTTATAAGGGTATCACCTTACCCCTCAATGTGTCATTTTATAAGGGTATCACATTACCCCTCAATGTAACATCTTATAAGGGTATCACCTTGCCCCTCAATGTGTCATCTTAAAAGGGTATCACATTACCCCTCAATGTGACATCTTATAAGGGTATCACGTTATCCCTCAATGTGACATCTTATAAGGGTATCACATTACCCCTCAATGTGTCATTTTACAAGGGTATCACATTATCCCTCAATGTGACATCTTATAAGGATATCACATTACCCCTCAATGTGTCATCTTATAAGGGTATCACCTTGCCCCTCAATGTGTCATCTTATAAGGGTATCACCTTGCCCCTCAATGTGTCATCTTATAAGGGTATCACCTTACCCCTCAATGTGTCATCTTATTAAGGTATCACCTTACCCCTCAATGTGTCATCTTATAAGGGTATCACATTACCCCTCAATGTGACATCTTATAGGGGTATCACCTTGCCCCTCAATGTGTCATCTTATAAGGGTATCACCTTGCCCCTCAATGTGACATCTTATAAGAGTATCACTTTGCCCCTCAATGTGTCATCTTAAAAGCGTATCACATTACCCCTCAATGTGACATCTTATAAGGGTATCACATTACCCCCTCAATGTGACATCTTATAAGGGTATCACCTTGCCCCTCAATGTGTCATCTTAAAAGGGTATCACATTACCCCTCAATGTGTCATCTTATTAAGGTATCACCTTACCCCTCATTGTGTCATCTTATAAGGGTATCACCTTGCCCCTCAATGTGTCATCTTATAAGCGTATCTCACATTACCCCTTCCATAGTTCAAATCAGTGGCGGATTCAGGGGGGTTTGTTGGGTTCGGGAAACCCCCGCCCAATCAATTTTTTTTACAAGTGTCATTTTAACAATATATTTCATAAATGAGAAATATACAGCCACCACGAGAAACCCCTCTCCGCTTGAGCGCACACAATACACTAGTCCGAAATATTTTTTTTTTATAAATATCTGACGTTTTTCCTGGCTTTTTTACTATTTTTATATTTTACGTGCCAGGAAAACGTAAATCGGCGCCTTTACGAAAACTGGGAATTCGCCGCCTCCAACCAGAGGCGGCATTCTCGGGTTGATTTTCGATACTTGCAAATCGAATGTAATGTCAAACTCACAATTTATCAATAGAACAATGCTTTTAGTACTCTCCAACTTCGTTTTTATGGTTTGTTTATAAAATATACAATCCGATGAAAACATTTTATCTGACTGTCGAGATTTGTTTTCATTTCGTGCATTTTAAAATCTATCAAGTCCTGTATCGAAATGATGAGTGATGTTTTCTTTTCATCGATATTGTCGATTACTAGAAGCATTGTGCTATTGATAAATTGTGAAAGGGGCATTTAATTCGGTTCCCAGGTATCGAAAATTAACTCCGATTGGAGACGGCGAAATTTCCCGTTTTCGTAATGGCGCTGGTTCTGACGCTTTCCTGGCACGTAAAATATCAAAATCGTAAAAAAAAGCCTGGAAAACGTCAGATATTTCGGACTAACAATACACAGGTAATCTCATGATAGTCCGTGCAGCTAGTGATGACACAAGGTCATATACTAACAACCAAGACTGCAAATAGTTCACGGTATTGTTTTGGTATTGCTAAATTAATATTCTTTCAAGAATTTTCTTCTTTCTTCGACAATTGAATGTCACTTGAATAAACTGTGATTATTATTATTATTTAGAAAAAAAATACATCAGGGACGTATATACTAGTTGTTTACGTTGTGACCTTTACCAAAAAGCACATTGGAAGTGTTCCTTTTGTAGATGGAAGTTATGTACAATGCAATTTTAAAAAGCAAAAGATCTGCAAATATTCTTTTTGAATTACAGTTGAATGATATTTAATTAAACCCAACTAACGGTTACAACTTTGTATAATGAATTGTGGTAAAACTGATATGTATAAAGTTGAGGTCCTGTCAAAACAAGAATTGGCCACTTTTTTATCAATTGTTTTTCAAGACTTTTTTCCCAAACATTTGGCTGGTAAGTGGGTAAAATAGAATAAAAGAGTGCATTTATGTTAGAATTATAATTATGCCCCCACCCTCCAAATGAATAAGCAATAATTCCAACAATTTCCCCAAATAATTTAATATATTTATTCTTCAATATGAAATATCATTATTTGTTTACATTGCAAATTATATGAACAGTATAGTCAAGTAGTTAAAAAGAGTAATTAGGGTTTCTACACAGAATCCAAATTTTGTAAGTGTTGGGAAATTGCACATCAGTTGTATTTTGGTATAGTCAGAGCTTCACATGCGACACATTGGACGTGCATTTTAAAACGAAGAATTGGATATTATATGTATCAAATGGCGATATTTCTAATTTTATCAGATTTTACATTTAATTTTTTTTTCTTTATAAAAGTCTCATTTTTCATCCTTACATGGAAGTTAAAAATAATCCCAAAATTTTAATTTTTTGTTCAAATTCTTGAAAATTTGGGTAGGTCGGTCTTGAAAATCAACTAGAAAAAAAGTGGCCAAAAACTAACTAATTCAATCTAAAATGCTGGAAAATGCACCATTTGGAGCCATTTTTAAAGGAAATTTCTCAGGGGAGGCCGAACCCCCACCCATGGGAGGGGGACATCCCTCCCATGCCCCCCCTTCGGCCCTACGGGCCTCAACCCCCACCCCCATGAACTTCTGGATCCGCCACTGCAAATAACAATAGCTTTATTGACAAATACTCCTTGTATAGCCGCTATTACTACTCGGGACGTACAATTCAAATCAACAACAGGGCAAGCAGCTTCTCTACAAGCACTTTAATTTACGGTCTGACTATATCTTACTTTGTCAAAATGAAAGTTTAAATTCAGTAAAAGATTTATCACCAAACTAATACCCGTCATTGAGTACATCTTTCCTTTGAAAAAAATGTTCAAAGACAATGAAACACTGATGAACAGAAATCACAGTTGCTTACTTTAAAAGTGGGCAAAATACCTCATTCAGATGAAGTGTTCAATATATATTCATCTTGGCCTTCTAAAATGCTACGAATGCTTGATTTGATCACAAATTAAAAAATAAACTGTACATTTCAATTTATTTCATTCTAGATCAACGGGCAGATTTCCCTATCTACATAAAAATACCATAAAATCAGAATTCTTTAGGCTCTATTAAAGTCTTAAAAATAATCCTCCAGTGGATGAATGTTTTATCGATCGGGCTCGACATCTCGAGAATACCAAATCACCCAAACTGTGGAAAAGCGTTGTCCGACTTGCAACTTGCCGGGGATTTTTTCTACCAATATTTTATTCACTGAGAATGTCTCGTCGTCGAAGAGATTCAAGTGACGAAGAAGATGGTAATTTTTCTTTTACATTGTCTGTTAATATATTTATACTAAAGCATTCGGCGAGGAAATTAAAATCGAAACAATGATTTCAAAGAGGAAATTCTGAACTCAAAAATTTAACAACTTATACAGATATTTGATATTTTAAAGATATGTCAAACCTACTATAATAAATTAACATTTAAAATATCTATACTTTGTTCTCGTATATGTATATATATATATATATATATATATATATATATATATATATATATATATATATATATATATATATATATATTGCTAAACTGTATTTAGAAAAATGTCAGGAATCTGTTAACCTGATAACTGTAATTGCATGATTTGTATTATGCTGTTATGTACAGCACACTGCTACATGTTGTCTTACTAGGTTCCCCTTTTGGGTAAAAAGAATTAATCTTACATTTAAAAACAGCTGTTAGTAAAGGAACTATGAATTGAAGTAAATTGTAAGTTATTACATTGGTGTGCGGTACCAGTAGTTGCATTCAATATTTAAAACCTACTGGTAACCCATTAAAACAATTTTGCATTCCCTTGAATTTCTTGGTGATAACAAGTGTGGATAGCAATAAATATGTTGAGTCAATTTCTAAGTATTTAGTTTTGTCATCATTTATCTTAATCTCGGTGGAGATTCGGCTGGGCTAGATATTTGTTCTGACGCCCACCGAATCTCGGGACAGTCCTTCATAATTCATGTCTGGGAATTCAGCCCCAACTTCGGCCGGCTATAGCAAGAATTATTCACCTAGGCGACACTGTCGTTCGCTTCAATTAAGTCATTTAGTAGTTTAATTAACTCTCTGTCACAATTATTTCTACCTTGCTTACCGTCTAGGCATGTAAATCCCAACATAAAAACATTCACTGAAATATCCGTTCAAAATATGGCTCCCCTGACGTAATTGTTTATCTCCTCGCACTAAAGAGTTCCTCTATGGTCTGTTTTCATTTCTATCAAAAATACTTAAAAGCCACAGTAGAGGTTCAGTATCACATAAAAGAAAACAGACTGTAGGAACTTTTTAGTGCGAGGAGATAAATAATTACGTCAGGGGAGCCATATTTTGAACGCCTAGGTGAATAATTCTTGCTATAGCCGGCCAAAGTTGGGGCTGAATTCCCAGACATGAATTATGAAGGACTGTCCCGAGATTCGGTGGGCGTCAGAACAAATATCTAGCCCAGCCGAATCTCCACCGAGATTACATTTATCTTGGAAAGTAATCTTGAAAAGGAGTCAATATAGATTAGTCATACAGTAAAGAATAATATTTGTTTTAGTGGGACATTCTGCAAGAAAACGCAGACGAGGTTCAGAAAATATTGACATTGAGGAAAGACTGGAATCCCTCATTACCAGAGTTGGTGAAAAGGTAAATATTTATATCTTTTATATATATATGACAAGAGAAAAATATTACATATCTGCAAACCCTCTCATTCTTTGTAGGACATGTAGGAGAAACCCTCCTATTCTATGTAGGGAACCTGGAGTCAATTAAACTAACTCGGAGTTTTGTTATCTCCATAGACACCATATTTCGTGTTACTCAAAACTTTATATGAAATATAATTTTATTACCTCTTGTATAATATTATATTTTATACAATCAATCCAAATGTACAAACATATTTTTACATTGTGATGTCAGAAGTATATTGAAACAGTCTGAACTGCCACAAGGATTACAAAACTGAAGAATAACAATCCACAGAACTTATGAACTATTTTATTAATCATAAAACATAAATATTTCATTTATTTCCTGTATCTCATGTCATAAAAGCTTCAGAGACAACGTAAACTGAATATATATTGTATAAAATATCGTTGTTAAGTAGATCCTCATATGTACAAAACCTTCCACATTTTATTTTGTTTATAGCAACATCATCTGCATTTTTTACTTCAATAGATAAATTTACATGCTTAATTGTTCTGATGATGACCATCCCTGGTCGCAAACCAGTCAACAAAATAAATCTGCTGCATTCTCATGAAGTGTTGGTGATCTGTTTTATATCTTTAAGTTTACAACTTTAGGTACAGAACCTATTGATTACTGTTTGGTATCCACACGTGGGAATCTTACACATTTTCAACCGGACGATGTTTGGTCTCCAGTTTTTCTTTGTTTCAGATAATATAAATATTAAATAAAAAATGTTAAGAATGAATTAAAAAATTTATATTAACATAGAAAGTAAAGTACATATTCATTATTGTAACACATTTTTAATTGATTTCAGAATTTGGTTGGAAAAATTAAAACTAAATCTGTGTGCATGGATTATTATATTTATTGTGTACTTTTAAAGACAATAGATTAATGAAGAATAATGTTTATAAGCAATATATCAATATATCAAATTCTCCTCCGTGCTCCTTAGACAAAGGGAAGGGTTTCCCACATACACAAGCAGTTCTAGGTTGTCAAAATCCTTTTAGTTCAAATAATAAATGAAAGTTGTAGCAAATTGATATACAAATGAAAGTTGTAGCAAATTGATATCATTAATTTTTGTAACTAATCAATATTTGAAGTTTTGTGAAATTATTATCACAAGTTTTGTGACTTTTGTTAAGAGCACATCCTCCTTGGAAAGTAACTTGGAAGGACTTGCGAGTGTGCTGGAGGCAGATCTGGGGAACTACAAAACCAAAATAATGAGAATTCTGTGTTCCTGGTGAGTACTGCAGCAATAATGTACCCCTCTTCAATTGGGGGGGGGGGGGGGAGGGGGAGAAGCATCTATAGGTACATGCATAATTTGTTTATATGGACACAATTATATTTTTCATTACTATACAACATTCATATTAGGCTAAACGCTATTTAAATCTAATAGCTGTTCTTTGTTATCTTTAGTGTTGTTAAACTCCCAGAGAAAATGGCTGTGTACACCACTCTGATTGGTCTACTAAATGCTAAGAATTACAACTGTGGGGGAGAGGTAAGGTACCCTACTGAAAGTAGATCAGTTATCCTTTTGATAAATACATACGTGATCCTTTTAATAAATACATACGTGTATGATATAAAGACTCCTGTTGCCATTCTAATATAAAACCAATATCTCTTGTATGGTTGCTTAGTTTTAATTGTTTCTTAGGAATATTTTCAGAAACTTAACATTCTTACCTTGTTAGGTTCAAGCATATTAGTTCTATACTTTTTTTTCAGTTTGTTGAAATGCTTGTTAGAAATCTAAAGGAGGCTCTGAAGACTGGGGAGTATGAAAATGCTAAGTTACAAGTAAGAAAATATTAATGTATTCACATTTATTGTATTGAAGGTCAGACGGCACATTCCTCAAAAATATATAATTTTTCCCAAGAATTTGTCATTGAAGTATTGCTACTTAAACAAGTTTCCTCACCAAAAATTGAGGTACCTTACTATGCATTTGGGCAAGATACCAGAGGGTGATTATTCTTATATAATCCTTATGGGTAATGTTTTGAATTGCCAATGTAACAATTTTTGGTGTACTTATTTTTTAAAACATATTTAAAAAAAAAAATTAGAAATCACAATAGAATGACAATTATGAACAATTTTTGATATAATATCAAGGTATGTTAAATATATATTCGAGGAACGTGTTGTCTGACCTTAAGATATTGGATTGAAATGCCTGTTATTTCAGTTTTCAGCTCACCTGAGCCAAAGGCTCTAGTGAGCTTTTCTGATCAAAACATTCTGGTGGCTGTCTTTCTATTTGTGTTATCAGTAAACTTTCACATTTTGAACTTCATCTGCAGAACCACTGGTAGAACGAGGCTGAGTATAATTGTATTTCTACCCCAGATATTGTGGTAAATTTTCTTGAATGAATTTTTACTATTAATTATTTTATCAAAGATTAAATAAGGAATGTTTACCATCCTGATTTATTAAAAGGCCATCTCAAAAGTTGTCAAATTTTACTATTGGACCCCTTGAGAATTTGTTGAAAAGTGACAAATTATCACATTTTTCCATATTTTTGGTATTTCTGCCCCAGTGATTTCTTTTTCAGTCAAATACATAAAAGTTACCAGTATTTTAAAAGTCATCAAATTGTGAAATTTCAAAAAAAGTCAAGCATCTGGGTTGAACTAGGAATTATTTCAAAGTCTGTTTTTTTTTTTTTCCAATGCCCAATACCTCTCAATTTGCCATATTGTGATATGTATATTGGTGCAAATGAATTATTTTGGTAAAAAATAACAATTGAAGATTTGTAGTATGTTTCTTTTGATGTTATGTCAACAGTTTTTATAAAATTTCCATGGACATCTTGAAAACACAAGCAAGTCATGTGTCAATCTTTAGCATCATGCATTGCTTAGAAAACCGGAAAACAGTGATGTTGTTAGAGCCATTTCAGCATTTTTTTCCTAATTAAAAGCACAATTTCAGACCCAGAGATATAACAGATAATGTTAATTTTGTATTAAAATTGCAATATTTAGGAAAGTTGCAATGTCGCACCTACGACTGCATGAAATTAAAAAGCTGCACAAAGTCATGTGCACTCGAAATAGACTTGGCCTTGTTAATTTCAACTAAATCTGCCTTAAAGCAATCCTCGGGTGAAGGAGATTCGGTTTTGTATAATTGAAGGACTACACCCTCTGTTGAGTGGAAGTAATTGAAATACAGGGAAGAATTTTATTGCGTCTTTTAAAAATGTTTACAATAACCACTGGGACAGAAAAAACAAAATTTATGAAAGCTGCCTTAACAAATGTTGATTAAGCTTTGTTTTAATCATGGCCCCTCAATGGTAGCGTGGGGCCTTAAAAGATCAAAGTTTTCATGAGGATGTATAGGAAAAAAATCTTTAAAGATCTTCTTCTTAAGAGCAGTGGGTAATGAATAGTAATATTAATAAGCAAGCATCTTCAGAAAGTGCAGATTCAGATTTGTTTAAATCATGACCCTGGGGGCAGGCAGAGGCCACAATAGGTGATCCAAATTTTACATGGAAATATTTACCAAAAATATCTTAGTCTTCTTCACAAGAAAAGCAGGGCCATTATAAGTCACAATGTCATATTAATGAAATGCAAGCATCTTCAGGTAGTGAAGATTCATATTTGGTAACCCCCCCCCCCTTCCACTGGGTATGGGTCCACAATTAATATTGAAGAATACCCATGTTGTGTGATATAAGTTTCATTAAGTTATGATCCCTTGGACTAGGTGGGGTTACATAATTGAGTCAATTTTTTTCATTAGAATAAAGAGGGGGGAAAATCTTTTGAAAATTTTCTGAAGAACAACAGGGTCTAGGTTACTCAGTTGAGCATTGTGGCCCAAGGGCCTTTTGTTTGAATTTTTTTTGGAAAGAAGTAAAATTCTTCTGCTGACATTTGCCATTTGTCATTGCATATTGTACTTTTTTTTGAATTGTAATTTGGAAGGCGAGGAAAAACTTTTGATGTACACATTTGTTTCTTTGAAAAAATATTTTACCCAAGGTAACTTAAAATTTTTGCTAGTTAAAAAAAGACAAATGGTTATTTAATGCCATACATGCAAATACAAATATCAAATGAATAGGACTTTAAATAATATTAAACATGAAAGTAGTGTATCAAACTCTGGATGTAATACCTCTGTCAGTCCCACTGAAGATTTTCTGTAGTAGAACTGATCACTGTACTCTCCTCTGGTTCCAGGTTCGATTCCTTGCTGACTGTGTCAATTGTCATGTGATCGTGGCTGGGTCACTGTTGGCTTTGTTTGACAATTTTATTGAAGTGACACTGGAAGACAACATTCCACAGGTAAAAACCAGTGTTATCTCAGAGATTGATTTCCTTCATTGACTTTTTTTTATTTAATTATTTCTTCCTTAAAGGAAGACATTTTACCCTGAATACATCTCATTGTTCTTCTCATGCAGTCATATCCATCTGTCTGTGTAAACCTATTTATGCCATAACTTTGTAATGGAGGTACAGGTACTCAGAAAGCTTATACTGGACTCAGAGATTGTCTTGATTGTGATCCATTGTCATTTGTAAAAGTTCAAGGTCACTGGTCTGGTTCCTAACTTAATACATTTAACATAGAAAAATTTGAAACTTGTACAAGAGACAAAGATTGCTTTTGGACTGAAGGGTTGTCTGGACCTCAGGATATTTGGATGAGTTCAAGGCCTCTGGCAGAAAAAAAAATTCTGCAATATCCTTGCAATGGAAAACATGGAAGCTCATGGTGACAGAAAATTTTTCAATTATGGTGTGCCATGACCTTGACTGGCAGAAAATATGTTAGATTTGTGTTTGGTCTTATCTTTGTTACTAGGAAACATTTGAAGCACATACTTAACACAAAGATTGCTATCTCTACACATATTTACCATGTTTATATAAAAAAAAATATCACTGAAAAAAATTCAGTTTTAAAATGCACCCGTATAGATTAATTTTTGTCTTAAAAACATTATCTGTTGGAGATTGTAAATGAGTAAATTATTCAGTTTACATAGAACATAAAGCTTTCTTGTAATATGTTCAGGTGCGCTCAGACTGGTACGTTTATGCAGTGCTGTCTGCTCTGCCTTGGGTAAGTATAATTATACAATTTCATATTCGATCATTTCTAATTATATTACATGTGTATTAGATTGGTAAGAAGTTGAATCTCATCATGGATGAAAATTTTCAAGGATGAGAAATGATGTCTTTTGACTGTTATAGGTTTGATGAATATAATATGCAGAATCTATGGTATTATTGATGAAGGGAAACATTATATAAGATCAAATGATATACAAAAGCTGTCTAAGGCCTAAAACAAAATATGTATGTGACTTAAGTGTTTCCAGCTTATAAAAAAGAGGGAAGATCGGTAGAATTTTTCTTTATGAATATATTAGATATATTTACATATATTTATGGAAGGCTCGATTGTGAAGCTCTAAGCTCGGATTCTTTCTATAGCCTTATTCAAGATATTGGTAAAATTTTCCTTCGTTTGCACTCTTTGTTGAAAACATATACATGTACTATGTTACAAGTAGGTACTGGAACATGATTTACTATAGTTAAATTACCATGCATGAAGAAGCTTCACAGTATTTTACATATGTTGTTTTCTAAAAGATCACTTTTCTTAGCTTGTTTATATTGCAGGTTGCAAGAGAATTGCATGAAAAGAAAGAGTCCGAGTTCAACAAACTTTTATCAACTATTGACAACTACATTAGGTTAGAACACCAATTAGGAAAAACAGAGACTTTTTAACATTTGAATACATATCTTGTGACATTTAAATACATATTTCTTGATCAAAGTACATTTAGCTTGTTGATCATTTACATAAATAATGCAAGCATTTGAGATAATATACTGTATGTGTACATAAATTAACATTCAAAATTTAGCGCAGTCACCGAGTATGGAGTGGTTGGCATAGTCATGAATTAGCGCTACAGATGTAGCGCTAAAAATAAAAATTAAAAAATACCTATTGTCTCTCAGTTTAAGTAAAATTTTAATATCTTACTCTAAATAATTTTTAAACATCGTATTAGATTATTGCTGTTCAATAAGCGTGTCCACCTGGCTGAAAATCAGATAGCCTTAAGGTATTTATTGTGCAGTCATAGATTGGTTGTTGAGCATTTAATTACCGTTTACTTTAATTAAAAACAATTAACTTAAGATTTCCTGGTCCAGGATGATCAGTAATATGTAATTATGTTAGAGTAGTATTGTGTAACTAATACCGCACGTACATATACATTGTCGAGGTTCACATATAGAGTATGCGGGTCAACACAGTTGAACTGAATGGTCCAAGTGACAAGTGCCTATAACCCATTTTATATTAAAATTGATGCTAAAAAGTGAATTTGGAAAAAAAAAATCACTTTAAACATGGATATATATTTACATACATTTATATAGGCCTATTGCCTGTTGAAATAGATAATGATTAAATCTGGCTCGGTGTTCGAGGCCTGATAAAATGGTAGATCGAAGCAAGTATTTGAAGTAAATGAAAAACATATTGTATTCATTTATTAACGGTAATCATGAATTAGCGCATCGCTGTCTGTGCCAAAGCCACTGAAATATGAAGCCCGCTATTTTAAGTACACATGCAGTATATTGCTTTCAATTTTTTTTGGGCATTCTATAAAATAAGTGAAAATTGGAAAAGGGGCGACAATGCCAGGGGTAGATACACATGTGATGGTGACAAGAAAAGACTGGGGGGATGACTTAAGGAAGCTCTAAACACTGCTCACTGAAGAGTACTAATTCCAGGGCAGTTTTATGTAGTTAAAGTGATCTGCCCTTTGATGAAAAAGAGAATAAGCTGGAATCTACAGTAAAAAACACAATGTGTACTAGATAATAGTATTCTTAACTTTATATTAGACCAAGATAAAGTAATTGAATGAATTATTTGCATGTATCTTCCCAATGTAAGTAAACAGCAGTAATTTCTGTTCAATAAGACTTCATTGTCTTTGGATTTTTTTTTGGGGGGGGGGATATTGTAGGTACCTTATGTTGAAGTGAACTAGATAAACTTAATATGTACACCTTTATATGACATTATTTTCTGGTAGTCCAAGTTTTTTCACCAAGTGTTTAGAGCTTCCTTAAGTGCTGTCATATAATTTTGCCGATCAGTGTCACAGTAATGAATAAAAAAGCTTCCTTGTTTTAGCAAGAGACAGAAGATACATGTTCCAGCCTTGAGAGTGTGGGTGTCTGATTTTCCCCATCCTCAAGAAGAGGTAAAATAAAATGACCTGCATGATAGATACATGTATTTGTAAATGGAAGTTAATTACATTTGTTAATAGCAAAATGGTATGATTAAAGGAATCTCAATACATGTTATGTATTGTGAAATTACATGTAATTGTCACCTCATTGCACATTCATGAATTTTTTGAAGTATAATTTCACACTTTGTATATAATAATGCATCATTTATTTGGTTTGTCAAATTGATAAAAGATATAAAAACTATAGTCCAGAAAAGTCAAGAAAAAAATGAAACAAAGCAAAACTAACACACTAGTGTTTTTAGTTTGTGGTCAGTTATGTGAGCATTGCAAATCAAACACACCTGATAAAATGTAAACAGTAACAGATCTCGTGCCAATATTTGCAAACACGGGTGTTTGGTGTAAGGTTGTGAAGAATGCTGTTGTCATTGAGTATTAAAATTTTTTGTCTAAGTTCAAGTCATCAAACTGAAGCTGTTTTTCAAATAAAAATAGAAATTTAAAATTGTAAACAAAACCGCACTGCAAGTGTATCAATGCCCCTTTAAAGTGTCTGAAATACCTTGTTAATGGATGACTTTAATTTTGTCTTCATAGAATTTTTTTTGGGTATCTATACTGATTTGAGATACTTGCAGAATAATTAATAAATAAACTTTTCTTGATAACTTTTTTAAAAGTACTTAGACTGCCTTTGGGCCCAGATTAAGAATATGAAGTCCAACAAATGGTCAGAGAAGCAGATCATGAGGCCTTATCTGGCATTTGATGGAGTGTTGTGTGAGGCACTACAACACACTCTACCCCAGATAATCCCTCCCTCACACAATGAAGAGAGTACATATCCCCTCCCCAAAGTCATCTTCAGGATGTTTGACTACACAGATGTGCCAGAGGTAAGCAGTTATGAAGAACTAGCGATAGAATTAATTGTAATCTTTACACTCAGAATATTATTGGAATATCTGACATACTGGGTATGAATAAAGTAAAATCCAGTGAACCTTTATTAATATGTTGTACATATGGTGATTAAATATGCATTGACTAGTTCTGTATTTTTTTTATTCAATGAGACAGATTTAAATGAATAACATCAGGTTTTTAAGAACAGAATGGTTGTCTTAACAGGGCCCTGTATTACCTGGTAGTCACTCCATAGAGAGGTACCTAATAGAGGAACAGATTGACAGAATAATCAGTACATATTACGTGGAGCGCAAAGACTGGTAAATAATATCAACTGTAAATATGTATAATCTCTAGTTCTGATGACACGTTCCTCAAATATCTGTTTTGTTTCTCCTTGTAAAATACAAGAAAAATTCAGAGTATTAACATTATCTTGTGATTTCTAAACTGTTTTCAAAATGTCTTAGAAAATATATAAAACAAAAATTGTGATATTGACAATTCAAGTGATTTCAGACAGGAATATATAGGAAATGCCACCCTCTTGTATCTTGTACAAATGCCTGGTAAGGTACCTCAATTTTTTTTTAGGAAACTTGTTAAAGTAGCAGTACGCCAGTACTTCAATGAAAAATTCTTGGGAAAAATTATATATTATTGAGGAATGTGTTGTCTGACCTTAAAACATGTATGATCTATTGAGAATTTAATTATAAGGCTTCATCAGAATGATGAATATAAAATTATCCAAGAACACAGAGAGTCCCATTATTGATTGATTGGATTTAAGTCTACAGTGCACAAGCTCCCGTACAATTGGGTAACAACAGAATTTTAAAAATTCTCATAAAAAAGTGTTTGAAATGTTCCCGACAAGGTTTCTTATATAAAGTGCACACAACACAAGATTAACAAACACCCACCAAAAATCAGAGCACTGTGATTTCTTTCAGTAAAAACTGTACATTCTCATTATGTGATTGTGACACCAAATTAGTAGTTTTAAAATATATGGTTATGCTCATATCAAATAATTCAAAACTAAAGGTCTCCAGTCCTTCTTTTGAATTTTATAAACCTATAAATAAGATGTAAAATAAAAAAGGACAGTTTTAATGGTTACTGATTCTGTATGTAGATGTATTCTGTAGTTCAGCCATAAAAAAAAATAGGATATACAGGTACAGGTACATATTTTATTACCATTTTTTCTTCTTCCAGTGCTGCAGCTTTACTAAGCTTTCCTTCCAAAAATAAGATCCCCCTCAATTACATGATAGTGGAGGTAAGATTTACATTTACATGTATTTCCAGGCTGATCCCACTAAAAGTTGATTGTGTGAAATTTTTCTTATCAATGATATACTTAACAGTGTCTTTGTAATCTTTGTACAGTAAAACACGGTTAGATTGAACATGCTTATAATGAATTCATGCTTACAGCGAAGTGATTTTCATTTCCTGCAGTTTTTAATCATATTATGAACTAAATGGACACAGTGAATTATGTTTATAACCAATCACTTTGCTATAAATAAGCATGTTTTATTGTATTGTTTGATTTTGTATTTAAGGTGGTGTTTTCTCAGCTGTTTCGACTGCCAGTACCCCCCTCCTTGGAAATTTTCTATGGGTCTTTACTGATAGAGCTATGTAAGCTGCAACCAGGCTCCATGCCACAAGTTGTATCCTTGCTTGACAAAGTTGTGTTATTTTCTGAATGTCAATATAACATTAACAATACAAGATTGTATTTACTTTATACTTTACCCCTGAAGGATATTTTTTAGGTTCATACATATATCACAGTGTGATATGATATAAAAAAGATATTTTAAGATTTCCGACAGGATGCTGTAATTTTCCTTAACCTTGTAGTTAGCACAAGCCACTGAAATGCTGTATGAAAGAATTGACACTATGAATGTTACCTGTATTGAAAGGTTTGTCAAATGAAGTGGTGATTTTATCCTAGTATTTAGTACACATATTTATCTGCATTAGAATGAGTCTTGTGAAGTAAATGTACCATATGTGCTGTAAATTCACAAAATAGCAAAGGAATTTTATTTCCCTCATTACATATAATTACGTAATATTTTACAGATTTGCCAACTGGTTTGCTTATCATTTGAGTAATTTCCAATTCCGCTGGAGCTGGGATGATTGGTCCACCTGTTGTCAGATGGACCCTGAATTACCCAAACCCAAATTTGTCAAAGAGGTCCTTCTAAAATCTTTAAGGTATAGTGTCCGGCATTTTTATGGGATATTAAAAGAAAAAGAATTACATGTACTAGGGGTTATTAAAAAGTTCGTGGACTGGCACCATAAAATTAAAACCACTTTATGTACATCAATGGATTTTTATAAATTTAATAAGCATCATCTTTTCTATCCGTGAAATAAACTATAAATTATAAGTTTTATTTTTTAGTGAATCGTAAATGTTTTTGTAAGCAATGGTATGTCCAGGCGGCGCAACCTTGAACATGACATATTTTCTACCTGACTGTAACTGAGAAAAACTCTTCTAATATGAGCATTTGTCATCCAAAAATCCCATTAATTCACTCATGTGATATGACACAATTTTCCTATAAAAGTTGCATTTTTTACCTCATTCTGTACATTCTGTGAAATTTTATCGCAGATTTTATATTGATTGTCCAAATAATAAAGGGGTTAAAAATGACATGGAAAGGGGGTCGGGTGTCATTTTACATCATTCTATAAAGTTTCAGCCTTTGGAAAACCTGGCATAGACTTAATTAGAAAATGTTTAAAAAGGCTACAGAGAAATAAAATACATCCAGAGTACTTGTTTTAAATACCAAAACAGATTCAGCAGGAAAAGAGACACACAGTTAATGTCGATTTGTAGTCAGGTTGTACAAAGTCAGTCGCATCGAAAAGTGAAGTTGATCATTGGTAGACATTGAACTCCGACAAGAAAATTATGATGGCAAAATCAAGCGAGGATCTTTTCCTATGTATAGATCTAATATTTACAATATTAATGCATTGAAATCAGGTGTTCATGACATTGTTAAGTCATATAAACAAGACAGGTTTAGGTCTTTACTTTACTCCAGTGAATCTCATCAAGATAAGTGTATTGAGGCAGAAGGAGCAGGCATTGAGAAATGATAACGTTGTCAGACGTCATGAAACTTAATGGCGACAGCGCCGGGTGATCATATAATACCCTTTTTATTAAATTACTAAGCTGAATTTTTCAACACTTCTCAAACTTTTGGTGTTTATGTTTCCTATAAATTTTGTAATCAACGACTACATAGTATTAATTTTATCGCATCAGTCCACACACTTTTTGATAACCCCTTGTACATGGATATGAAATAAACTAACAGAATTGGACAAGTTTTGGATCACTTAAGATTTAATTGTAAGTTAATTTTCCAAGATTTATTAGTACTGTACTGTTGTAAGAAGGTACCAGTATTGCCTTTAATTTGTGCTATACATTTATTGTTTCAGGGACTTTTTTTTCGAAAGAAATTATAATTTTGCTTCAATTTGTTTGTTTCTTTGTTTTGCAGATTATCGTACCACCAGCGAATAGCAGAAAATGTCCCTGAAAGCTTTGAAGCACTAATCCCTGAGAAACCCCACCCTCACTTCAAATATGAGAAGGAGGGAGCAGGTTCAATGCCTGGTACTATGGTGGCCCACCAACTGATGGCTGCAATCAAGTCCAAGTGTACCCCAGAGGAAGCTATGGTATTGCTGAAAGATCTGCCGAACCCACTCAGCGAGGAGGAGAGTAAGTTCATCTATTTATAGTCAGTGGATTACCTAATCCAAATCAGATGTAAACTGTAACATATGTAGAAAAAAAAAGAGTTAATTCAAAAAAGTAATGTTGTCTAGAAATCAGTTTGTAAATATCTTTACCTCAATAAAATAACATAGATACATGTATCTTTACCGCAGTGAAACAACATATGTATACATGTACTACTAGTAGAAATAAGAAATACAAAACTGCATAAATGTCATACAGGTCTTATTCACCTACATTTTCTTGTACTGTTAATATGGCAAATATTGACTACATCAAAATGTCAGACAAAATTATTGCATAAATTATGGTTTTGTGACATGTGATTTTTAACTTATTTTAATTTCTGTCACCAGCTGAAAATTTTCAGTCATTTGCAAAAGTATTTCGTAACTGTACACCCTAATAAGTGTGGCACATTAAGAAAAATGACAATTTCCTTAAAATTTGCATTATTTCGTAAAATACTGGGTTCATAAGAATTGATGTACAGTACTGCTTTGGTCATGACCTGAAATAATAATCAAGTCATCTGATCACTTCTTTATCAAACAATCTTAGCTATGAATTGGATTGTGTACATGTAAAATCAGATTAATATTTTTTTATTACAGGTGACCCTACGTATCACCCTCTCAGAATAGATGTCTTTGTCTCAGTTTTACTTTACCTTGGCAGCAAGTCATTCAGTCATTCATTTGCTGCTATAGCTAAGTAAGTACACACTGGTTGTCATCCTCAATTATATGTACGGAAATTCACCCCAAAACACTGTATACTGGAGTAAAGTGTATACATTAAGTTTAGATAAGAAAACATTTTCAGTCATAATGTGTATAATTTGTTTTGTAGATTTCATCATATTTTAAAGCTTCTAGCTGACACAGAGGAGGGACAGATTTGGTTACTCCGCACAATGTTTGAAATCTGGAGCTCACATCAGCAGGTTAATAGATTTATAGGTCAATATTAGATGATAAAAAACATGTCATTCTGTAAATATTTTGTGGGAAACTACATGTATTTTAGCAGTTTCCTAACTGTCTTATACATGTGAAATGATGTGGTTACAGAACCTTCTAATATTACATGTGTGAAATGATGTGCTTACATAACTTTCTAATATTACATGTGTGAAATGGTGTGGTTACAGAACTTTCTAATTTATGTGAAATGATATGGTTACAGATGATGGTTGTTCTTGTTGACAAGTTACTGAAGACTCAGATTGTTGAACCCTCAGCTGTGGCTAATTGGTTGTTCTCAAGTGAAATGCAACCAGAGTTTACCAAGTCAGTACAGTTATGAATTTAAACATGATTTTTTAACTTTCCTCAGATGCTGGTATCCTCAATTACAAATGTTATTTTATACCAAGAATTTACTTTTCCTCTTTGTGAAAAGATTTAATGTTTGGTTAATAATGCATGTGACAAAAAGAAATATCTATAATTTAAAACCTTATTTTAATCTTTCCTCAGATGAATTATTGTAAACATTGTAATATGGAAACTGTTATCCTTGCTTCTGGATTACAGATGAATTTAATTATCTTCTTTGTTTGTGAACAGATTTTATGTTTGGGAAATAATGCATGCGACAATAAGAAAGATGAGTAAACAAGTGGACAAACTACAGCAGGATGTGGAGGACTCAAAGGACAAACTGGAGGCAGCAAAAAGAAAGGTCAATAGAATATGATGGTTTTATTAAAATTGAACTGATTTTAAAGCATGCACATTTATCAGTCAGGAGCATAATGCAAACAGGTTATTAGAAAAATAGCTTACATAAGTTATTTTACACACACAAAATGTTTTTTAATGATAACCTATATAAGTTACTTTTATATCTTACCTGGACATAGATTTCTTGGGGGATTTGAATTTCCTGCCAATATGCATTGCATTTTGGGATTCCATTATGTAATAAAAGATGGAGTGCTCAGACTCCAATGGAGAATTGGTGAGAAGGTGGAGATAAATAGCATTTTACTTCTTATTTTGAAGTGTTATTTATATGGTTTGGATCAAGTTTTTATCATTAAATTAACAATTTTTCCTAATTTTCCCAAGACTTTGAACAATTTTTCTGGATTGTATTACTTACTTACTGCCCTTGGTGCCTTTGGCGTATAGGGCAGTTTTTCTGGATTGTGCAAGGTTTAAATTTTAATCAAACATTTGTTTTTGTCTTGGTGCACGAGCAAAAACCTTTGGTGCACGGAGTCTGAAGTTAGGGAGGAATGACACAAAATAACTTAAACAATTTATCATTTTTTTGAAACTGTTTTGGAAAGATAACTTGAGTTACTAATGCTAGGGAAAAGTAGGACAGAAGCAAAGGGAGGTAACTCATTGTGACAAAAAAAATAACTCATTTGAGTTATTTTTGACAATTTTTAAACTTGTTTGCATTATACCCCTGACTGTTTATCAACAGCTTTTTCATTGTTTTAGCAAGCAGATGGTTTGATGGAGGATGAAGATGAAGAAGTGCCAACAGACGAAATTATCGAAAGAATGGAGGAAAGGCTGGAAGCTGCTCAGAACCAACAGAAACGACTCTTTCTGATTATTTTCCAGGTATCAGTGCTCCTTCAGAAGACAGTGACCTATCTCTAAAATTAGTTATTCAAGTGTACTTGATATGTGTGCGAAAATCATAAGAAACCATACATGGTTTAGATTGTCTTTAAAGTGCTTTTGTGAAATTATTTGGGCAAGTTCATTTTACTGCAGAACATCCTTTTCTAGGTTCACTTTCCTTCCTTTTTCTCAGTTGAAGTACATATAATAGAGAAAAGTTATGTATTTTACAGCGATTTATTATGATCCTGACTGACCATTTAGCAAAGTGTGAAGGAAATGGGATTGATTACAATACACCATGGTACAAGTGGGTTATTGAACGATTACAACAAATATTTTTGCTGGTAAGCTACATATACCTTGGTTTTGAAAAAAAACTCTATACCATTAATTTATTCCATTTACTTCTGTGTTACATTTTGAATTACTGGTTGTAAAATATTGGTTCATTTGATTTCTTGGAATTGTATAGTTTACTTGGAAATTTTTACACTATTAAATGTTATTTACAAGTATTATGTAAATGTTTGAACATTTTAAATCTGTAAACATTGCATTTTGCAGGGTAATGTATGCATGTTTTAAATTATTAGTTTTCAAATACACCTATCCATGATGAGACTAAATTAAAACTGAACATGAATCATAAATATCCATACTCCATATTATTTTTCCTATCTCCAATATCAGCTCTGGGGTATACCCTTCGATTTTGCTACACCATATTACTTTCTAGCCGCTGTACCTGGCATGATGTGTGTTGATCTTACATTGCCGTTTTAAAATACTGCATTCACATGCATTTATATTTGTTTGTATTACTCCGACCTCTGCAGTTGTTGTAATTTTTGTTAATTTTTCCCATAACATGACAGCAGCATATAGTAGTTATTTTTGGTGCTACCAAGTAGGCCTATTTCACAATGGCAATGAAGGATACATCCATACAGGTGAAATCTGAAAAGCATATTACACTGAACTGTGTCCAAGTGAAAGGCTTATATAGGGGCTCTAGAAATAAAAATGAACAAAGAGAAATATGGCAGACAAAAATAAATCTCCTCCTTGTAGGAGTCATGTTCAGCCTTTGAGAAAATGTCCCACAATACATACATGTACACTGTTACGGTATATATTTAAAAGGAGTTGCTAAAAGTCATTTTTCTCTTCTTTTCAGCACCATGAGCTGGTCTTCAGGTATATCAGTACTCTGGAGTCTCTACTGTTCACAAGTGACATTGACTTTCACATCCTGGAAGTATTCCAACAGTTTTGTGCTCTTCGTTCATAGCTCCATCTTCATTAACTTCATAAAGGCTTTTGGCTTCATTCATTTATGTTCAATGGAATTGAAATATTCAATGAGATTGAATCATCAATAAATATCTCAACTGCAAAGATTTCACTGAATGTCCTGAAGTTCAACACATCACTTCTACATGTTGTATGAACAATTTATTGTGTTTATAAAAGGTAAAAAAAAAAAAAATCTAAATGTATAATTTTTAGGGATGTCAAATCAGTCAATATAGGTCACTCGGACGATTTTCTGATCGAGAACCCAGGTACTTGGTAAAAACGTAACTGCAAGTGTGTATTAGTGTTAATTTTCCTGAGACCAGTTAAGCCCTGTTTAACCCCAAAAATGTTTTTTTTTATTACGTTTCTAATGCATGTATATAAACATCAAGCCCAACTGAAAATGATTTTTGGGGGGTACTAAATTTATTTATCAAATGAGCACAAGACATCCATTAACACTAATAATTACAATTTACAGTTCATGTTTAGGAAGACAATTCGATCAATACAAGAGGAGGAAAATTTGTTACACAGCTTTGTAATGATTAGACTAGTGAAAGAAAATATATATCTTTAAAAAAACGCACATTTTTGGGATCGGTAGTTGTATATTATTTTATCTGTTGGTTGTTTACCCTGTATTTGCTAAATTCACTCATGATAGCTGACTTTTAACATTTTTTGAATCTTAGTTATTTCTAAATATTTCTTCACTTCTGAAGTGGGTTGAGGCATCTCTGTGTATGTCCAATTTCACGACCGTATACTAACTAAATAATTTAAAAATAATAGAACATAAATAAACGATGTTCATTGAAAACATCCAAAAATTAATTGACAGAACAGCTATGTACCAGGTGATTGTGCACGTTAATTACTGTATGTACACAGCCACAGGTGATAACGGATATTTAGTGGTGTAGGTGACAGCACGCTAATTACTGTATAGATAATGGACAATGCATATTTTAGTGGGTTTTTTTTGATGTTTTTGATAAATATATGCACTTTGAAATATGAAAAAATATACATCCGAGTAACTGAGCACCAATTTTAGTATTTGATACTCAAACGTTCGATCGAGTACCGGTAAACTGGGTACTCTATGTTGACATCCCTAATAATTTTGTCTTTCGGACAATCAATGTAGGTAATTTTGAGTTTTTTGATAAAGAATGACATTTCTTATTTTTTTATTTTATGAGAATAAAATCACATTGTACATGTATCTGGGTCAAAACTCAACTTGAAACAATAGATTACATTTTCTGTAATGGACTTAAGCAACATTGTGAAGTGCTCATAAATAAAGATTTTTTTAAACATGGAACTGTAGTAATTTGTTCTAATTAAGTTTTCTTATAAAACTTGGCAAGTGGAGCAAGATTTCTGCTAGAACAAGAACACATAATGAAGAAAACTTTAAAGAAGGCAGACAATATTAAACTCAAGAATTCTTCGTGTGATCAACTTAAACAAATCCATGTATTGATCTTGTAAACTTGGAGGTTATTGAACAGTATCTTATTTATCTCATAGTAACAAACAATTCCATCGAACATTCAAGTGCTTTCATGTTATATTAACAATAAAATTCAATAACTGGCTACAAACTGGATCTGTCCTTCAGAAGAATCAGATTAATGCAAACACATACAAATCACCTGAGATTAAACTCATGGCCACAAATGAAAGACATGCATGTAAACAAAAGCAGATTTTGAGATCCCATCAGAAGTCTGTCACACGACCTTTCCTCTCCCAGTCTCCATAACGAGTGGGCTCTGGTCCTCTGGGGCCTCCTATCTCGCCAGTGACTGGATTTGTGTCATTAGGAAACCTCTCCAGAGGTTCCTGTTCAACAGTCATATTCACCACTTCTTCTGTTTCTAATTCTTGTCGAGGATCATCAAATTTTCCAGCTGGGGTTTTCCCCTTTTTGCGATGACCCTTTCCTTCCTCTGAATGATTACGAAAACCTGTCAACACTGCTGTGTATGTAGATCTTCCTGGATTCAAAATGCCTAGAAAATCAAAGTATTTAATAATTTTGTATATTTCTCAGATAAGTTTTATGAAAACAGGATAGAAAGTGTCAGTACCAAAATATGAATGTGATAGCAAATTCTCCCCCTGGGGAAAGTTCTGCTATATGACAAAGTTTTTAACATAGGTAATGAAAGATTACAGAGCTCACCCCAACAAATGTTATCTTTACGTATGGTCAAGTCCCACACTAAAACTAATAATTTAGTAGAGTGCATCACAAGATGCAACATTTATGCAAATTTGGTCTGGTAGGCCTTGGGAATGGACTTGTTCTAAAAACTTAAGTCACTCATCCAGGAAATGTAAGTCAAATCCAGCATCTGTAGCAAGTTTGAAAGTTCATCCTTTGATGCATCATCCATGCATGTTCAGTTTGTGAAGGGCTTGAAGTGACACTCGAATGAGTCTGCTCCAAAAACTTAAACCTGGTCACTCATTTGGAAAATGTAGGTCAAATCCAGCATCTGAAGCAACTCCTTATGATGCCTCATGCATGCAAGTTTGGTTCAGGTAGGCCTCATAGTTTCTTGAAAATGAACCTGCTACAAAAACTTTGAACTTGGTCACTCATCCTGAAAATAAAGGTCAAATCCGGCTTCTGAAGCAAGTTGGGTAGTGTGCATCCTTAGATGCATCATCTATGCTAGTTTGGTCAACATAGGGTTTATAGTTACTTTAGAATGAACTATAATCTGGACACTCATCTGAAAAATGTAGGTCAGATCCAGCATCCAAGGCAAGGCTGGTAATGTGCATCCTTAGATGTATCATTCTTGCAAGTTTGGTCAATATGAGCTTTATGGTTAAATGGTTCTCGTTACGTAAACAAGCCTACAAGGGCTAGCGCCTCATGTTTGTTGATAAATAAAATGGTGACTGAGTATATATAATTAATTTTCATATTTTCAACACAGTGACTGCTAAGAAACACGAAGAATTGTTTTATTGTGGGAATTTTAATTTATACGATTGGAATTGAAATTTTCTACACATAATTCATGTTATACATATGTATAACTTTTGTATTTTAAATTATTGTCCCCCGCTTTCACCAAAGCGAGAAGACATTAAATCTCATCCGTCTGTCTGTCAGTCCATCCGTCTGTCTGTCACAAAAACCTTAACCTTGGTCATAACTTTGAATGAGAAGAGATAGGGCTTTCCTATTTCATATGTACATTACCTGTGACAAAACCTTTCCAAATATACATGTGCTATGATTTTTTACCCTGACCTTGAAGTTTGACCTACTTTTCAAAAGGTTCATCTTAGTTGTCATGTAATTTCTAAGATAAATTTTAATTAGGTATTGTTAATTTTTTTTTTATATTTAAACAGTAACAAATCATGAATAAGGATAGAGTTTGTTTGGCTTTATAATTTTTTTTTGGGGGGGGGGGGGCAATGATAAAAAGAATTACTGAGTAAAATTATCATTTTTGAGTGTATATTTGTTCACTAAGAATAAACATATTTAATTAACAATTTTAACTACGAAAATCAGACACCGACATCTGGACATGCCACGCTGAATTATTGCATACATCTTCCCTGGGGATTTTCTAAAAGGGAGATCTTTTGCTTCAGAACAACGGTTCGATTTGATCGAGCCCATTGAGAGTATGTTCAATAGATAGAACATTCTATCGTTAAAAAGATATTGTCCTACAGAGCCGGGAGGGCTTGTCCCGAGAAACAGATTATTTTTAATGTTTCTTAATGTACACCGTAATCACCATACATAATGTATACCATTTCTGTTGGAAGTCTTCTAACAAATCAATCAGCATCGATAGTTATGCAAAATAAACTTACCATAAATGCGATTAGATACAACTCTGGTCACAGAAGTCATTATACTGCAATTTTGGCCTTACACAAAACAATCGGATGCTTGTTGGTTTTTCGCAGCTTATGAAATTCGTCAAAGTGAAACCGAAAGTAAAATTAGTAATTCATACTTTATATATTTCGCTAACAAGAAACGGTCAACTCTTTTCAGACAATGATTCAGAAATGTTTTATCATATATATATATATATATATATATATATATATATATATATATATATTATATATATATATATATATATATATATATATATATATATATATATATATATATATATATAATTGTCCCTGATTTGTTTATTTGATCATTCTAAATAAATGTAAATTTTATAAATTTTTAATTACACCCAAAATATCTAAATTTTCAATTGTCAAGGAGTAGAAAACAAAGAACAATTATTTCAGATAAATTATATTTTATTCTACATTAATACATTTGCATAATTTGAATTGAAAATGCTATGAATCCTGGAAAACATTTGGTAGTAAACTAAACCAAACAATTAACAAAAAATTTATTTTTAATACAATATACATATATCTTGACTTGCAAAACAAGATTGTTTCAAAATATTAAAGTTGATACTGATTTTTGAGTCAAAATATCTGTTACAGTTAGGTTTTTGTTTTTTCAAAATATCAGCTTAACTGCACTGTTTAAAACATCAAAATTTCACCTTTAACTTGGCTTCAGGTATATGTATGCACCTGTCAACCTTTTCTCATGTCTTTTTTCTCCACAGAAAACATTTACTAGGATAATACATTGTATTCATTATTAGATACAGAAATGAACATTAGAGAGTAAGAGCTGGTCAAAATTCAAGAAAATGTTTCTCAAACATCGATAAAACTTGGCCTATAGTTGTGTTAAGAGCACATGTAAGTCATTTCATTATAGTTGCCAGGTTTTAAAAGTTTTACAGTACATGTAGGCAATTTTTCATAAGAATCAAATAAAAAAAAACTTAAGGAGTGTGTACAACAATAGTTTTTCATATAAAAAGATGGTAACAAAAATAAAAAAAAAAATACACATAAAAAAACATGTTTTATAAATAAATTAGGACGGATATTACAAAAAATTGTGTAAATGCATAATTACTGCATAAAATCAAAGTGAAAATGTGTTCATATAAGAATGTTTGTAATAAAAATGCACAGTTTTGATACTTACTGAAATGACTGTTGGACAATAAATAATATTAAAAGTACTGACCTATATTGTAGATTATAAATTATACAAGCTTTGGTGGTCATGGAAATTGAAACTGCATATCATATTTATAACATAGTTAAGTAATTACGATTTTGCTAAAACCTTACTAAAATGAATAAATCAAGTTTTGAAGTAAACTGGAAGTACACGACTGTACTTTCTAACCATAATGCATAATTTTCCATTTATTTTTAAAATCAAAATGCCATCTGTTGAAAGCATAACAAATTCCTATACAAACTTCTACACACTCAATCAGATACAGACTTACAATGGAACAATATCATCTTTTAGTTACAATAGCACCTCAAGCACAGTCATACATAAAAATCATCTGTCTTCCGAATCGGTTTCATCAGGTGGGTATGTATACCACATACTCTGACTAAATGACTGTTAAATGTTTGGTGGCTTTTGATTGGAATCATGTGGCCAGAAGAAATGAGTGAGTATATTTAGTTTGTGTAGATATATCACAGTTGACGGTATGGAATGCTAACCCTGTAAGTTGTCCCCCTTTACGTTCTGCTACCTCCCGTGTGGCTCAAAAGCTTTAGGGCGTATATTGGTCGATCGACTGGATCTGACAGGAGTCTGGAACTTTGGGGACCTGTAAAATGTAATGTTCTGTTTTACTTAAACAATTAACTGGTGACATTAATCATCTACTATTAATAAACACATCTATCAAAAGTATAGCATTAATTTTTATGGAAAATAAAATAATTCTTTGAAATATGCTGAAATTAACAGACCTAAAAACAAAAACATGATGATTAAAATAAATGTCTCATTTAGAAATAGGCATTAGTGGCACAATTTTTGTGTCAAAGATATAACAGAAACATCAACTCATAAAAATATAAAATTTCAGTAATTTGTTAAATATCAATGGACTCAAAAATCAACATATTTAAATAAACAGAATAATTTCAATACAAAAATGATACCTCTACTTTCCCAACACTAAATACATGTATAAAAAATAAAATAAAGAATTTGGAAGTAATAATCATAAAAAGAAACAATACAATCACTATAGGTCTTCTGTTTGGACAGCAGACCTAATTACACAATTCTGGGGAAAGTAAGAGGATAAGGCTACATCAAGTGTAGCCTCTAGAGTCAATTTTACTTGTATAATTTATAGAGAAAGTACTTGTGGCTTGACTCTGGTCTATACTCACTACTGGAGATCACAGGGTGCCGGTAATCGTACTAAATCTTCAGGACTAGTCATTAAATTTTAAACGAGACATCATATACTTAACTAATTGAGAATACATGTTATAAATTAGTATTCTAGGCATTGACAATGTAGTATGTTCATGTATCAAGTCTTAATTGAATGATATGCACTTGTAAAACACACAAGAACAAAAATATATTGACAACTAAGAAATAATTCCCATGTTGGAGGAATTGTTGGAGAAATACCCAAATAGTCTAGATATTTTGTTGGCAAATAAAAATTGAGCCTGAAAGGCAAGGTTTTAATTTGCCAACAAAATCTCGAGACTGAGGGGTATATTTTCCAACAATTCTGATGATGAGGGAATTATTTCTATTCTGCGATGATGAATATTTAAACTTCTATGTAGAGAAATGCAAAAGCTTGATTTGGACGTCATCAGAAGAGTCTTATCACAACTGAATGCATTAGAAAAACTGTGACGTATTCTGAACCCAAAGTAAATTTTTTCCACCAATTTGCGTCACAATCAATCAATATCTCTATCCTTTTCCTAGTGAACACAGACAAAATTAGAGGAAACTGATTTAAATTCATTGATAATTGTTTGTGATTTATTTGAGAATAATGATTGTGGTATCTCTTTGTGATAACTGTAGTAAAACTGAAAATAAACCCTTTATGTTGATTAGAACGTAAATGTACAAGTACATGCACATTTTAGGAATATCATTGATATTAGATCATACATTTAAGTTTTAATTGCACTCCTTAGTGTAGAGAATAATTTTACAAAAAATTTATCCCAAAATTAGTTAATACTTCTTTTTATTATTAGATAACACTCATCTATGTCTAATGTAAGATATTGTTATCAAACATAACACAATGTAAAGCTTATACCATTTCTGAATGAAACGCTTGGCATCACTAAAAATAAATTTTAATATATACAGTTTCATGTTTGATACAAAGAGTACAACAGCAGGGAATCCTGGGATTTGCATGTATCTGATTGGCAATGCTAAATTGATTAATAAAGACTTTAAACCAGCTTTCATTTTATTTATTCATTTATAGCAAAAATTTCATAACCATTTTTGCTTGTATCCCTTTTACTGCAGTATTAACATGTAAAATGAAAATAATAATAAAAGAAAAAAAAATTGATGCTGATGTCATGTACATACGACTGAATTATGATACTGCACAGGTATCAGGTAAAAGTTAAAAATAACTCAGCTTTTTGACACTTGATTTTTTTCTACCAGATTAATAATTGGAAACAAATTGAGGTTATAACCAATTAGCAACTCTGCATCTGAGAACCATAATGAAGAGTATCCCAAAGCTCCAAACATAAAGCAGATTATTTTTAGTACCTCTCTGATCTCCTAAGAGATGAATCCAGCTTCTTGGACTTGGGTGTGGCTGTCTTAGGCATACCAAAGGAGATTTCTGAGTCCTCCCTAAAGTGGGATAGAAACAAAATCATACACTACCCTTAACTTCAACAGAAACAACATTTACACTGTAGTACAATACAGGTGTGAAATCAAAGGTACAATCTGAAAGATCTGAAAAAATAGCACAAAAACTTTCAACATCGTTATCAGCTGGTACCTGATTGGCAAGAAACTCTCTGACTGAGTCATATCCATGTCTTTATTGTGGTCACGTGTGGGAATCTCAGCCTAAAAAATAATACATTACATACATAAAAAAAGAGTGTCTAAAACCCATAATACAATATATATGTAAATATAATTAATGTCTACATACTTAGACTGAATATTGTTTTATCCTCACAAATTATTATCTGGCAATAATGTCTCTAGATTGCACATTCTACAATTGTATTGAACTGATTGTATTGAACAATTGAATTGTGTAAGAGTTAGAATCAAAACAAATCCACAAAGTTCATACCCCTGCAACATCAAGAAAAACCTAACACTTGACATGTTTACATGTTTTAGACAATGATAATACTGACACTCTCGTCATACTCCCGGCGGACGGCATCGCTGAGCTCCCGTTTCAGTGTGTTGATGTGTTGTTGGTGTGTATCTATCTCCTCCTCCAGGGACTTGATCTTACTGATTGCCTGGTTCTGAGTCTCAACAAATGCTCCAACCAAATTCTGACAAATTTCAAAGCCATTGTAATACATTGCAAGCATGGAATAATTTTGGTATAAACAGAAAATGTTTATTTGTTCATTAACTTAGCTCTAAAGACAAGTGACTCAATAAGGTGTAAAGCGGACATTAATTTTTCAAAGTACTGTATATAATGTGTATAAAAATCAAGAGTGCTTTTATTTTCTTCACTAAACTCACATGATGACTTTCTTTATTTAAAGGTACTAACCTGTGCAGCAATAAGCTCTGGTCCAGCTTTCCCAACATCACTTGGAATGAAGTCAGCATTCAGTAACCTTTTAGTCCAGGAGAAGTCTGTGATACCCTTAGCCAGGGTCAATTCTTTCTTAGCCTGTGAACAAGGCATGTGTTTTATAGCAGAAAGATGTTACTTTAAAGTGAAAAGTATGTAAATACTGAGTCCACTTAGTAAAAGCTAATGCTTACCTGCTCCAATGCTATGGTAACAGCTTTGAGATACTGGGCCAATGTTTCCTTATCTCTAAAATTTTT